CCTCACTCGTGTGTGTTTACATCATGGCTCTTCAGATGAAAATTCAGCAGGCTGCCCTTGAACTGCAGTTGACCCCTGCGTTGGTTCTTCTGCGATCCACCTTGGAACAACTGCAAGAGAAAGACACAGCAAAGATCTTCTCTCAGCCCGTCGATCTATCAGAGGTTGGTGCAGCTTGAAACTTCTGCTGAAATACACACTTGCCTTTGCTTTTACTCGACTAACAGCCTTCTTTTCATCGTTCTCTGAGGTCCCAGATTACCTGGAGTTTATATCCCAACCCATGGACTTCTCCACCATGTGTACCAAACTGGAGGGACATGCCTATTGCTCCATCGCGGACATCGAGAAGGACTTCAACCTCATGATCTCCAACTGCCTCAAGTACAACTCCAAGGACACCATGTTTCACAAGACAGCCTTACAACTCCGGGAGGTGGGCGGAGCCGTTCTCCGTCACGCCCACAGGCAGTCCCAGAGCATCGGCCTGGACCCCAGCACAGGGATGCATCTCCCAGAGTCTCCCAACAGACATGGCTTCTACACCTGTACATGGGACGACGGTGAGTTGAGGCGTATGGGAACTCGCTATTTCTCCATGACCACAACCCTCATCTGTGGCTCATCTGCTCTTCTACCTTTTTGATTCTCTTTTTCAGTCGACTCCCTGTTGGACCCAGAGAACAGACTGCACTTGACGACGGACGAACAGCTGAAGGCCTTACTGGACAAACTGGACATGGTTGCATCCATGCGCACCAGTGGTGGGCGAACCAAACGCATCAGGCTGCTGCGTCGAGAGATCAACTCGCTCCGACAGAAGATGAACCAGCAGCAGCAGAACTCGCAGTCTGCGAATCACAAGGACGACGAAGGCGAAGAAGAGGAGGAGGAGGAAGAGGAAGAAGAAAAGGGGGCGAAGGAAGAGAAAAAGAAGAAGAAGGGACCTCTGAGAGCCATGTCAAACTCTGGGACAGGTAAACATTTAGTGCCATTAACTTAATGTAAGCAGTAATGGTGAATGGCACCATTTAATTCATCCAACAAGTACTTGCATTACTGATCTGCCGTTATATTTGTTCATATTCCACAAATAAGATTCAACGACGGATCGTTTCAGCCGCATTTAAGATCCTTTTCTAAATTTCTCTCCGATCCAGATGACTCTCCACCCGTGCTAGAACTCACCTGCCCGGTATCATCGCCGTTGCCAGGGGACGCTCCGCTGGAACCTCCGGTCCTGGGCATCGTACCCGGAGGGCGAAGGTCACCCGGACGCTCCTACAAGCGCCAGAGGTCATCCCGCGCCGGAGGCAAAAGCCAAGCGGAGGATGAGGCGGAAGTCGGTGAAACGCCATCGTCCCAACAGGAGGCGGTGCATGAGGTCACTCCGCTGGGAACCCCCCCCACTCTGCCTTTGGTCGGAGTTGGTCGCCGCACGTCGGTTCTGTTCAAAAAAGCTAAGAACGGGGCGCGGCTGGTGAGAAACAAGTCGCCACCACAACAGAACGGTAAAGCGTCTGAGGGTAAAACCAACGGGTTGGAAAACAGCCCCGCCAGCCCAAGTCCCCCCAGTGTGACCAACGTCATGACCTTACCTCCCACCCCAAGCGCCTCCCCCGCACCACCCTCTCCTTCCTCACACCACCTGAGGTCCAGAGGCCCGAGCTCAGAAAGTGAAGCAGACAAGCTCCCCCCACCACCCGGAGAAGGAGGTAAGGACAAAGTAGACCCCTTTAACGTAGCAAGAGAGATTCTTAAAAAGTCCATTTTTGTCAGCATTTCATTGGTGTCTTCTGCTAGGCCTGACAAATGGAAAGAACACCTATGCAGACCACCACCACGACGACGACAAACAACTAAAGTGAGTATTAGAGAGGCAATGGGCCCAATGCAAGATACACTCAAACGATTTATTCTGAATCCAACTTAAACGCTGAATCCCTGAATACTCGACTATTTGATCTAAGGAGCCGGATTTGACTTCCGATTATCGCAGTGACTTTAAAATGTGGTTATGAAACAAAGGATCAGTTCTGAATAATAATAAAAATGTAGCTTTTTCCAAATCAAACAATAGGTCCACTTCTAATAATATCAGCGCTCAACAACAAAGATGCACGATCCAAGCGCGAGATATATTCTACATTATTAAACTAGAATCAACAGAGGTAGGCACATTGAAACGGCACATCTGGCCCTCTTTTTGACGACTTTGGTCGCAAAATGTCCATTAGTATGAAACCTCAGCTAAGCGATGGCAACACGAATCTGGAATCAGATTTCACTGTGTAAGTTCTTAGTCGGGGAACCAGTGGAATAGATAAATAGAGCACTATCACCCACCTCTCTTGCTTTTCTCTCCTCTTGTTTACAGCTGCAGTTCCTCCCCACCCAAACGAAGTCGTGGTAAACCTGCACTGGCGAGAGTTCCCAACAGTGAGCATGGAGACATCTGTGGATCTGGTGTGTATGATGAGAAGGCAATCAAAATAACAGTGAAATGCCTCAATTTCTGAGCGCTTCAATGGACAATATCATGATTAAAGTAATTGTATGTCTTGGAATTTCCCGTTCACAGGACAGTCTACACTTCTGTCTTTAGACAGGGAGTCCGAGCTCGGGCCCCTGGACCTGGTTTGGGCCAAATGCAGAGGCTATCCATCGTACCCAGCCATGGTGAGGACGTGTCCACGCACGCAATATTCCACATGTCAAAGCCGACCTCAGAGGAGCCGCAGGAATCGGTCAACGTCGACTGACGACATGTTTTGTTGCAGATTGTTGATCCAGATATGCCCCAGGAGGGGCTTCTTCACAACGGCATCCCCATCCCAGTGCCTCCTGTGGAGGTGCTGAAACTAGGCGACTTCAGGGAAACGGAAGAGGGGGAGAAGCTCTTCTTGGTGCTGTTCTTTGACACCAAAAGAACGTGGTAAGATTCGGAAAAGACCTCATGCTGAATTTGAAAAACATTATAATAATAATCGCCCCACGGTCACCTGGAAAATTGTGCGTCTTGGTTTTCAGGCAGTGGCTCCCTCGGAACAAGTTACTGCCGATGGGGATGGACAACACGGCGGACAAACTACGCCTGATGGAAGGCAAGAAACCCAGCGTTCGAAAGTCTGTGCACACGGCGTACGACCGGGCAATGGTGCATTTAAATCACGTGAGAGGAAATCTAAACTTCACTCCCTCCAATTTTATATAGAGTTTTAGTTTTTGGATGGTATCATCTTAAACAGGCTGTGTGGTTATGTGTGTAGACGCTTCGTCAAGGCTTTTGAAAAGGTGTGACGGTAAAACAAAGGGGTTGAGAGTCGGTGGTATAATAGAATTTTCTGTCATAAGACTGTTTCTCCGATTTATAAAATGGAGACAAAAGTGCTTGGAGACATTTTCCTAGATGAATTTCTTCATTTATTTATGTCATTTTTGTAAAAGATTTTACACAACCACTCTTGCTGTGTGTCTATGGACAGTTTTTATTTTAGGCCAAAGTGATTCAAGACATAAGGAGAGAAGTGTAAATATGAAATTATCAAAGGGAAAGTCTTGATTCAAAACCTATTTAGATTGTATTTGCCATTGAAATGTCACTGTGTTTAAAGTGTGAAAGTCCCACTTAATGTTCACGTCATAACTGGACTAAAAAGTAACTCCAGGTTATAAATTATATAATCAGAAGTGCTATTTAATGTAATGTGCATTAAATCAGGAAGCCCTTTACTTATCATCAATATTTTATTCAGGATTATCTAAAAAACATCCATCCAGAACAGCAATGAATCACAACTTTGTTTGACTCTTGGATACGTTTTGAGCGTGTAGACATTTTCAGCAAATCTGAAGATTGCTCAGTTAATACAAAATGTTTTTCAAAAGAACCATTTGAAATGAATGGAAATAGCCTTTTAGTCCAGATATGACGCGCTGCAGGTGGGACTTTGGAGGTCTTTACTTATTTTTCCATATTGTGAAACTGTGTTAGGATACTAGAATGTTGGAGTACCTGGTGCAGCTACTTGGTTAGTGAGGTTTGAAGCCACTACAAAGATGAAGCTGATTATTGGGTGGTTATAACAAATTCTACTGCGATCCCTCACTGATGAACTTGTAAATCTGGCTGAAATGACTTGAAAAGCACAAAGAGTTTTAAAGAAGATTTGTAGGATCGCTGAATCCTGGAGCAAAAACGCGAGTGTGTGTGTGTGTGTGTGTACAGTATATACATATATGAATACGACCTCAGTGTAGTAAAGGTGCATGTGTATAGTTTTGTAAATATGTAAATGTATGTTTATATTGGCTTACATGAAGTAATTTAAGGAATGCAAAAATCAAATTTAGATTTTAATTTATAATATGTGGCAGTCAAGAGTGTTATTTAAAAAGTAAAATATTGAAAAGATTTATGTATGATGCTAAGTAGCTCTTTGTAACAGTGATGGTATTTTCCAGATTAAGACTTGAGCTCATTAGGCAGCAGCGACCGCACTAGTCTACAAACGCTGTCTTTTTCTTGTTCTTTTGGGGTTTTTTCTTGGGTGGCACAGCAGATTTTTGATCTTGTCATTTGAATTGTTCTGCAAGATCTAGAAGTCGGCCTGAGACGATATTTTCTCACACAAGAATAAATGCTGTTTGAAACAACTGCATGTGTGTCATTTAATCACACCCACCTTCTGGTCAAGACAGAACATAAGGATTAGAAGTGAGATCTTCATTGCTTCTGGGTAAATAAAGTCAATATTACACCTCCGATGTCCTGACAAGTGCTCAGACATGCAGGGTTTCCTTTACACTGCATGTACACTTCACAATATACATCCAAAGTATTTCCCTGCTTGACCCATCTGAACTCAATGATAATTACTACCTAATTAACTTGTCAAAGAAACTATCAGGCCCACGGTTCTTTTCTGTAAAGTTAAATCCATGTCATGTTATAAATAAGGTTCATTCACATCAACATCTCAAATGAATCATAACAATTGTGGATTTGTGCAACCTGGGATTTATTTTCATAATACTATAGACATACTTTAAGACTTTAATTGACAGAAATTTCCCACGAGCACACGAGGATGAGGCTACCGTTCATGTTCATTACAAAACTATAATCCAAGAGGAAGCGTCTCCTGTGCCTCTACACCAAGTGTCGACTACTAATCCCACCAGCAGTACCCGCAGGAAAACACAGCGTGAGCTCAGCACCGTCGTCCGAGCTCGACTAGATGAAAACACTAAACAACGACGACCATGTGAAGTCGTCAGGTGCCTTCTGCGCCAAATAAAACCTGATCATTTAAATCTGATACAGAAACACCAGTGAGAGATGAAAGGGACACGACGTCTTCAAGTTCCGCCGCCAGGACGCGACGCCGCGTCCATCGGGGCCAGTTCACAGTCCCGTGTGACTCATCGGGGCCCATCCCTGTGCAGGCAGCTCCAGTTGTCGTTATTCCAGTTTACGTGGAGCCCAGAAACTCAACAAACATAGAAATCTTGCATATCCTGTTTTGTAACAGCAGGGTGTTTTTGTTCTATGAAGTTAATCTAAGAACTAGTCTGAGAAAGGTGGTTTAACTTAATTTCACTCCTCATCCTAACTTACTGCCACCAATAGTTATAGCGTATGAATGAGCAAACATCTGTGTGATACATTCACTGTCCGTGAGGAAATTTTCCTTCTTGTCACAGTAATAAAACAATATAAAAACATTTCAATTCATAAATATCGATTGCAATAATTTTCTACCACATTTTGATTTAAAACTTACAAAGTAACGCTGTTCTGACCCCGTTTCTGAGGGGAAGCCGTGATCCAGTAACATTTCTAGTTGAGGTAAAGAAATAATACGAGTTTAGAGTTCATTCCGTCTTAAATAGTGTAAAACCTTTGTAGTGTTGTCGAGATTTCGGTAGTCAATGTTCGTCGAGCCCGACGAGAGCAAAAAAGGGGGTTTCAAAAATATCTCGCAACCCAGTGTACAAACCGGAGCGGCGCGCTGAGGGAGTCCTATAGAAGAGATAAGAAGCCGTTATCTGTGGAGTCTTGCTGGTCAGATTTCCCGCCTCGAGAGCTCTTGCTGGGGTTCGGGGTGGTTGAATACTTCGGGGGGTATCTGATGAACAGACGGTCCTCCTCCTTTTTAATCCACCGTAGCAGCTTAGTGATAGCAGTGATAGCACAGGCCTTTGTCACCAGAGGACTGAAGCAGGTGTACAGCTCGAACTTACTTGTGACCTGCAGCACGAGGAAAAAATCCACAGTTAGGGTGTTACTCCTCTTGCACTGATCCACATACCTGCTCCTCCAAAGCGCACTACTTAACAGGCTACGTGCATGTGGTTACTGTGCCCAGGGAAGAACCATTCCAGCACACAGCAACAAGCTTTCACCGACTGTTCCCAGTTCTAAACCAGGTTCTTGGAACTTGCATGGACAGATATGTGCGTGTGATCTCGAGGTTCTCACCCAACTTACTTCCTTTGCTTACTTTACTGCGAGGGAGCAAACAAATGTCTTTACTTCATATATTAAACCACGCATGTGAACAATAAACAAAATAAATGGAAGCACAGAACACAGCAGAGGTTGAATATAGAGACATTATTATGTATGATGAAACTACGTACCCAGGCCAGCAGAGTTTCCCTCTCAGCGACGTGGTAGATGAGCTTGAGGGGTCTTGAGGTGCTGTGGATGCGGCTGTGCATGTAGCGGTAAAGGTCCAGCAGTCTCATTTTTTCCTCCTCGCTGCTGTACGGGGCCTCCATCTCTGGGCTGCACGCAACAACAAAGAGTCAACGTTTCACACCGCAAAGGCATCATCAAGTTTCCACACAAACAGAAATAGCGGCAGATACGTGGACGCCAAAAGCTGTGGTGTGCTGATCAGATGCACAGCCTTGTTGTGTGCTTGCATGATTTCACTTTCAATATGAAGGTTTTGATAATTTTTTTGATAATAAAGCACGTTAGGATATCAGTGCAGCTCAGTGAGAGACAAGTGGAGAGAAATGGCAAGATTAGTGAAAGGAAATTTGAATTTCTTGCCCTCTGTATTTCTTGATGCTTTGTAACACAATGTCAAGTGACACAATGCATTTTACAACGAAATGTATCCAAAACAGAATAAATGTTTTTCTACCAAAACAAACACTGGTGGTGCACAGCCGGATGTTTTTGTATCTGGGGAGAAGCTGCGGGTTGTACCGGACTACAAGTACTTCAAAGTACTCTTTTGTAAGTACTCTCCATTTTTGCTGCATAGTATTGTTTTTAGTCCATGTTTCAACATAATCATTGCTCATTTTATTTTGCTGTGTGTGTGTGTTGACTTTGAGAAGCTCTGTGTTGCATGTCTTGTTTGTACTTTAAAATGTTTAGCAGTTTTATTCTCACTATTTTCATTGTTTGTGCACACACTGTAAAGCATCAATATAATTGCCTTTTGGCTTATTCTGTGTTATTTGTGTTTTTCACAAATTTAACCTTTTTTCCTTTTTTTAAACATAGGTCCCCTGTTTTAAACTAAAACGTCCCTTCTGTATTTGCACAGAGAAAAACAGACGCACACACACCTGGTGAACTGAGTTAGCTGGCGGTAGTTGTCTGGCACGTCGAAGGGCTTGTACATGAAGTGTCTGAGGTCTGAGACGCCCACCTGGCTCACGCTGTACGACTGCACTACGGCGATGAGGCTCAGGGAGTTCTGGGCCACCATGGCCTCCTCGATCCTCCTCTTGCAGTCGGCTACAGCGTAGAACGCCTCCTTGTCTGTCGAGAGCAGCAGCAAGCAAACAGTGCATTCCGGAGGGTCCAGGTAAGAAATATATGCATAAAAGTAGCAGTCAGGATTAAAGAGGGGGAGGCAGATGGGAGTCCAGATCTCTCCAGCCTGAAAGGCAGAAGAAGCTCCGATTAGGTTGAGCAGGAGGTGGACGTCGGCGGGCTCCAGCCTGGCGTCCTCAATGACAGTCTTTTCTTGGACAATGGTGAGCAGCTGTTTCTTTGCAATGAGGATGGAGAAAACCAGGTTGGGGGTAATTGCTTTCTGCAGGATCTGGCTGAGAGAGTCCCTGAGAGAGGAGGCTAAGGGCAAGCAGTGAACTGCTGCGAGCAGGAAGCTGGGGTCAGAATCCACCAGGTTGAGAAGACCGTCCAGGATCTTCTCTGACCCCGCCAGCAGTCTCCTCAGGTCGTAGTTTTTCTTGTGTTCAAAGATGCGGGAGATGCTGGCCTGGGTGAGCATGCTGATGATCTGGTAGTACACGTAGAGGAGCTCTCCGCGGAGCTGCTGCTCAGTCTGACGGCTGCTAGAGACGCACACCAGCACCAGCGGCCCTTTCTGCAAGAACACCACGGTGTGCCCATCTGGTGGGAGGAAGAAAAATATGTCAGGAAACAGAAAGATTATACTGGAAGTAACGTTGAATGTGATTAACAGCCCACATTCACACGTGTTGGGGATGCTGTGAAACTTTAAAAAAGGGGCATAAATGCATTTCCAAAAAAATATTCCAAGTGGATGCAGAAGAATTTGGTTATCGAATAAACATTCCCTTGAATTGATTTGTATTTCTTTACGGAGAAGTACGGTCCCTCTTTGGAAAATCACAAGTCACTGTGACACAATCTGTGAAACATCTTCCAAATTTGACCTAATATATGTAAATAGACAATTACATTTAGAATAATGTTTCAAAAGCTATTTGAGAGAAGAAAAAAAGAAAATTCACACAAATAGTCTCACCTGAATAAACTGAGCGGATGATGTTATCTCCACTTTGAACGAAGGAAACCAGCGCCATCATGACCCCCATTGTAGATGAAAGGGCCTCTTCGCTGCCATATCGAGAATAGATGGGTTTGCCTGCTTCGCTCAACACAAAAACATGCTTCCTGTGCTGCCGCCAGCTTTCCGCCGTCACGTCCTCGTCGCGATGGGACATGAAAGCAGGAGATTCTGGGATGCCGGCCTCCAATAGGGGGGATGACCCTCCCGTCACACCTATTCCTTGCTCCTCCAGCTTGGCCTTAGCCAGCATTGCGACGACAAACTCCCCGGAGTCGGCGCGGTCGCTGTCGGGGGCGGCATCCTCGGCTCCGTCGTCAGCCGCCTGGGAAGACGCGTTGTTCTCACCCTGCCAGTTTTCCGCCTCCTCGGTCTCCGGCGCCGTTACCGGATCAGAACGGGGCTCCGCCTCCTCGCTCCTCTCCTCTTCCGTCACGTCCGACAGGTTGGAATCTGCAGGCTGCTCTTTGCTCACGGCGGTAGTGTCGTTTCTCTCCACCGGATAAGGAAACATGTGATTCCCCAAGAGGGAGAGAGACGTCGCCAAGGTGTCAGCTAAAAATACGAAGAAAAATGTAATTGTGAAACAAAGGATGAAGAGTTGGATGAGAAGCTAAAATGTGAGTCAATTTAATGAGAGATTAAACAGTTTACCGGGTGGATTATTCTCACGGGGTGGATCACAAATATTCACTCCCTGTGCCTCTCCGTCTTGATGATTGTCTCTCTCCATGATACCATCCCAGTCTCTGCAGATTTAAGAATCCAAAAATAAATGTATAAAACACACACGCACACTTTAACAGAGGATGCACTTCGGTGGTTAGCTTGAACACAGCATGCATCACGTTATCTCATGAATAGGATTACTCATTCTGGACCATTGGTCAGGTCACATGATTATAAAGGACAACTGGGTTATGGAGAATTACAACTCCAAGATACCAGACTGTGGAATTTAACAAATGACAACTTGCAGCAGTCTGGCTCGTGTCCTACTGCAGATAAACAGCGGTCCAGCTGACGCGGGTGAAAGTATTTGACCGCCAGAACTGGGAAACTAACAAAGGTTTCTAATGGCTTAACTTGCTTAAAAAGAGCTAACTTAAAGTGGGATTCTTCACTTCAAGAAAGCTCACTTTTTTTGGACTCTGGTAAATATTGGACAGTGGAATTCAACGCGGCTCAGTAAATACCGGCTGTGGTTACACGGCTAACATAGACTGCTAGCAAAGCAACATACGGATCAATTTCGTGGCCTCGACTTTAACAGTGAGCTCGCGAGCAGTCGTCCTCAGCTAAAATTAGACGGATAGAGAAAAAAAGAACACTTACGATTTCGTACCGTCGAAACGCGGGGTTGCACATACAATTCGCTACATCAACTTTCACCTGCAGCCGGGCAGCACGCAAGCTGTCACGAATGAGACGCAGAAAACAAATTTTCCTCTTACGACAGCAGACATCCGGAATCTCTACTGACAAGCTGAGCTGACCAATCAGTCCGCTTGGAGGCGCCGGCTGGCCCCGCCCCCTCGTGTTGCGATCCGCAGAGCAACACAACGCGAATTTTATTTGGATAGGCTGAATGTACAAAGTGTTTTGGAATGTTTGAAGTAAAAATGTACGGATTGTATCGCCTTCTACAAATACATCTATAACATACGGATGGCCACGTGCTTTTTCAGGGAAGACCTAATATTTAGCAAACCTAGCCAGCAGCTAGGTTGAGCCACAGGGCTCTGTAGCCTGTTATGTGTGGTCTCATAGTGTTGTACGAGAAAAACAGCTCTCATCCAAAAGTGTGTTGGACCTGTAGTTGTTTGTCTTGTCTGGCATATGTCGCCTGTTGCCCGTTAAGAAAAAATGCATGTGTGTAGAGGACCTCTCTGACTTCTCTTGTACAAAACAAGTATAATATAGGACTTTTACTTTGGAATAATATCTTCATTTGTAGTGATTAAATAGCTTTTATTCCGGTTACACATCCCATCCAGGATGTTGTTTACCATAACGTGATTGCGGTGCTGTTCAACGTAACTACGTCATTTCCGGCTACGCACCCCCCCCCCCCGGTCAAAACATCGTAACGGTAAAAAAAAATGGCGACGTTGTTGCTCTTTTTGGGTGCCGTGGGCGAAGCGATGTTCTCCAAGTGACCCATCGGGATGAAGAGTTTACCGTTGTGACATCACATAACCCAAACCCAGTGACCAACCGGGCGCCATGGAGGAACCGTGGGACTTCGAGTTCTTGACCCGCGTCGCTGACAGCTGCCTCTCGTTCCTGTCCGAATTTGTTGACGACTGGCTCGCCAACGACATGCGAGTTTCCATATTCAAGATCTTGCTCAGCTGGTTGATTTTAAGTCTCATCGCGATTCACTTCGCGTGGAAAATCTACGGGAACACGGTCAACGACATGTACTACCGACAAGGTACGTTTCTTTTTTTACTTTTCTTGCACCACGTCGCCGCATCTCTTGCTAAAACTTAACAGTGCGGCCGCGTTTGTCTTCCATCTCCGCCGGTGTCGGTGTTCAGGGACCGGACAGAACGGAGGCACACCGGACACAGCAGCCCGCCCCGGCGGATGGTAGGTTTCTGATCGCCCGTGTCCCTTCAAACAGGTAGAGTGTCCTCCTCACGCGGCCTAGTTCCATTCGGAATAAGAATTAGTATTAGTGCGGAAGGGTAATATTTATAAGTGAGTGAGTTATGGGAGATCGTATCATTGTGTTCTCTCAACTGAAGCTGATGGCGGTGGGTAAAAGGTGCAGTTTTGACATACTTGAAGTATATTACAGTTAGTGCTTTTTAAAACACGCGTGTTAGTAAATCACATTGTGCTATTCTTTCAGGGAAAGCAAAGCAGGAGATGCCTCAAAGACTCATCGAGATTAACGGGCGTTGGACTTTTATCCAAGTGAGGACAGGACTCTGGTGATGAGACAATACACCCTTTTAAAGCTTGCTCATGATTAAGCATCTGCAGTGCATTCATGAATGAATTTTCAGGCAACTGCATAAAAAAACACATGTTATGCAAACAAATGGTGTCAAACTGATCCTCTGTATCAACTACATAGTGCTGCTTGTAAACATTGGTCGTTGAGAAGAACATTAGTCTGACTACTTAAATTGTTCTGCCTGTATGTTTGTACAACGTTGTTTAAATATGACACGAGTTGATGGTTTTACGTGCAAGTTAAGGGTGTTCTAAGAACAGTGGGACGATAGAGCAGTAAGCAAATATAAAAATCTCCATTTGGACCATGAGCAAAATAATTGATTTAATGATGTGTGGAAGAAACAATAGACCCGTCTATCGGAATATAGATCTACAAAAAAAAAGTCAGAAAATGTCATTTTAACCACCGTGTTTGTCATCACTTGCAAGGACCATAGTGTGAGCTTAGGAGATATGAATAGAAAAGTAGGAAACGACTTGAGATCTGGGTTGTGTCACAAATGACAACATGAAGCACGGGGGACGTTGTGTAGATGCTCCTGTTCAGCGGGGCCTATTGATGGAAGAGGGTCAAATGAATGCCACAAAAAAATAAATTCTGGAGGAAAAGCTGCTACATTAAGCTAGAAAACAAAGCCGGAAATGGCTTAAGAATAACAGACTAAATGTCCTGTGGTTAAATGACCACACATTAATCCGAGTCATGATTTTGAGGAGATGGACATGAAGGTCCCTGTTCATTCTGTCCCCATCTCAGTCAAAGGTGCTTGAGAAAGAAATGCAACATTCAGATTTGCAAAGCTGAAACCAACTTTTCCTTATTTTAAAGCTGTAATTGCTGCCAAAAGTGCCTCTTTATTTGAGGGTTAATTATTTTTTACTTATTTGTGCTGTTTTTTTTTAGTTTTAAGAGGATTTTTTTTGTTGATATGCCAAAGGCATATTTATGCGGTCAGACAAAATAATACATAATAAAATGAGTAAATCAAAAGTTCGGTGAATGAGACATTACAATCAGATATTGTATCTTCCAAGTTACAACAATTAAAATGGAGGTTATTAGTACAAAACGATGTACTGCCGTGTGCACTGAAATGTTATGATGTACATTGTCCTGAAGTGAACAAAATGAGACCAGCAGACAAGATAATATAACATGTTTTGTGTAAATAGCTCGATTGCTATTAAATCTGCTGTGTTTGACAATACTATTTTTCAGTCATTTACAAAGAATTATTTGTAAAGTCATTATTTCCAGTGAAACAGAGTGATCAGTGACTTTATTTGGACCAAGATCATTTCATTTAATTTCATATGCCTTTAAAAGTTATGTTATTTTGACGTGAATTGGTGGAATAAGCAGCATGTGCACATCCATCACATTGGTGCATGTTAGGCCAGGTACAAGTAAGCGCCGCCCAGCAGAAAGACGTGTAAAAAAAGTGTAAGAATCATTGTTGGTAAGGACGCTGTCGATGTCCAGCCCCTGTGCTTGTGACTCCTCCGGCAACCCCCCATCCGTGACGGCCCCCGCTGCCTCAGTGGGTCCATCCTGACCATCAGTTCCACCGCTCAGGAAGACCGGACCATTCGGCGGAAGCCCCAGGCCTCCCAGCTCCAGTGCCACTCGCAGAGCCAGCTCCTGGTTTCGACCTCCTCGACCTTTGCCCGTCAGCTCCACGGTGGGCTCGCCTCCGGCCAACAGGCACGTGGAACCCCACCCTTCTGTACGCCCTTCGCCCAAGACCTGCATGGTACGGCAGAGGTCCCAGCTCTCCACGCCTACTTCAGGCCCCAGCCTCAGCAGCTCGCCCGCAATCTCTGGAGGAGGTTCCTCCGGAGAACAGGCGAAGCGGGCCAGGAGGCCGTACAGCCGGGAAACCGCCCGCACATCGCCACACACTCCCGCTGCCAGCACGATGGGGCGGAAGCCTAACTCCCGAGCACGCCGACCCGCCTGTTTCAGGGCCACGCTGTTGGAGCCAATCACCGTATTGAGAACACGTCCCGATGTATTTGATTCACCTTTGTTCTCCCTCCACCTCTGCGTCGGTCTCCCGAGAACCTCCTTTACCGAGGCTGGCAGGCAGCTCAACAGCTTGTATTGTTCGAGGATTGACCACACCTCTTCCGGCCACACCTCGCTCCACACGGTGGGGCCGCTGGCTATCATGTCCAGAGGGTCGCCAATTACATCCGACAGTATCAGCGAAACCACCTGTGAGGAAGGGATTTAAGGGGGTAATATTCAAAATACAATCCTGGCATGCGTTCCCCACTGCAATGAAAAGCCTATTAAGGAAAAGTAGGTTACCTGGGCCGGGTGAGCAAAATGCGCAAGCCCTCCGCCCTTTAAAACAGAAAGGGCCCGTCGCACAGTGTTCAGCTCCTGAATGGTGGCACCAGCTCCGGCGAGTTTGCGGGTAACATCCTGTTTCTCTTGCAGTGAGATCGGTGGGATCGGGGCAGGTAAGAGCGCTGAGCCTCCACCTGTATACACAGTTTCAACACGTTGTGTTAAAGATTTAGGTACAAAAAAAAAAAAACACGACAGCATGCCTTTTTTTTATTTTAAATTTCAACATGAATTTTTAACCTGAAATCAGTACAAGTAGCAGGTCGTTCTCCGTAAGTTCGCTGGCAAACTGCTTGATCCCTTCAGCTGCATTCTGGGCGTCAATGTCAGGCAAGTTGTGTTTAGCTCCTTCCATCACCCTGATGCGACTGTTTTCTTTCAACAAGAGATGACTGGGATGGAAGACAGAAATGTTATGCAGTGTCATTTTATTTTTGTGATACTTTTAAGTTGACATAAGTGTTTTGCTTACTTCTTTCCGTGCTGCTGTAATGTCTGCTGAATCCCATGTGGCACGCTTATTACGCCTTTGACCAAATGATCCCCTAGAATCCTCTCTGCCTCGGCAGCCATACCCAGCACGGCTTTTCCAAAGCCGACCAAGTGCAGGTTGTGCTTAAGTGTGAATTTCTGACCACCGATGACGACCGAGTCCTCTTTGCGCTCTATACTCTGCCGGACCACCGTGTCTGGCTGCACGGCTTCGACCGCGGCTGCAAACACTTTGCGTGCCCGCGAGTCCATTGACATTTTGCACAACATATTTCTTCTCCTGCCCGCGTGGACCATAAAAGGTTGAGGCCGGAATAGGGAAAGAACACGTGCCATGGACAGTTCAGGGGGCCTGAGAAATTACAAAAAGATTTGTTTTTTTTACAGTTTCCAAAAAAAAATCAACATAATTTAAAAAGAAGACCCCATTGAATGTAACATGACGTGGGAAGTACTGTTGAAAACCAAAATGATATCACAGTGATTGCCAAGCTTTAATTACCTGCACGATGCATTAAAGATTAAAATCTTAGGGACATTTGCAGCATTGTAATAAATAACACTGAGATACTATTTTGCAACGCTGTATAATGTTAAATGTGAAGACTTTATAGTTACATTTGTTTATGGTGCTGTTGCAAACCTTTTCTACCCACTCAATGAATAATGTCTTCATGTGTTGCTTGTTATTAGCTTACTTTTAAAGGCTGAAAACAAAATGTGTTCAGACCATTGCCTACCTTTTAGTCTTCACAAGAACCAACACCTCATGTAGAGAACAGCTTTTATGGAGCCTACCTGGGATGTTTGTGAAAGGAATAAAAAGACGGCGGAAGCCTGTTCTATGCCCTCCAGCTCAGCAGTCCGGCAGAATACTGACCACAGACTGTCTGGAGCTGTGTACCCTGCGTGTAATGATTGACTTGAGCAATCACACAGCTGATCTCATCTGTTTTTTCCACCAAACTAGGGGAACAAAAAAAGCCTAGTAACCTATTTGACAGACCTTGGAGCTATTCATGTGGCCGAATAGTTCAAAGGGTCCAAAACTACTTTACATTGAATTGGTGTTGCAACGCTTGTTTGCTTGTAAGGGCTGAAAGTCACTTTATTCTGAATTGTAGAAACGGCATGGAGGCAAGCAAATGATGTTTTTGTGTCAACTGTTAGGGCAGACTCAATGACTTTTGGAATCATCAAACACTCTTTTTTGTTATCACACTTTTCTTTTGTATAATGAATAAGTATATGTCATCACGTGAAACTGATTATTTTGAGGATGAATTATTATAATAGTATATGATCAGATCAGCACAGCTCTTAAGAAATAGCACATGCCAACTGAGGTTAGGGGGTTTCAATTAGTCAACCTCAGCACTGTAGCTGTTATAATGTTGTATTTTTTAACATTTCTGGTTGACGTGATGGGAAACAGAAATTGTCTTTAGAAACGCCTTTGTTTGGCAAACACGTGCGCACAAGGCAGACTTTGCATCTGTCTTGATGTAACGCTACTTACACGGAATCGCGGTTGAGTCATCCCACTGCTGCAGACCCCCTCTTTGGCCAGACGAATCTACGAAGTTTTGTATTTATTTTAACCTCCACTTGCCTCTGTCAGTTCCGTATTCCAACCACACAGCAATGTGTGTTCACAAGATACAAGTTTCACATGTCCTGGGTTCAGGGACCCGTAGATTATTGGTAATTCAATAATGGTGTTTATGACTTCGGGTGCACGTATTCAACTATCGCGATAACTCTCTCCAGTATCGTACAGCGTGATTTCCGACCAACGTGCACGTCACATGATGAGTAGAACGTCACCGACGTCGCGAAGGCGGGGCTCGTTTTTCCCTCCCTCCTTACTGCCGTGGATCAGAAATATCGCAGGCGGGCTTTCACTGCTGGTTTTGAATTATACTTCTTTAAAAAAAGAACTGTTAGCACATTCGTAGATCATATATACAAATCTGTATTAAATTAAGTGGCATCTGTAAGGCGATAAAAAGCAACAGGAGGGCCTGCTTCCCCTCAGACACAGACAGAGGCCATAATGAAGCTCACGGACAATGTGCTGCGGAGCTTCCGAGTTGCTAAGGTGTTCCGTGAAAACTCAGACAAAATTAATTGTTTCGATTTCAGTTCAAACGGCGAATCAATTATTTCCAGCAGCGATGACGATTCCTTAGTCTTGTACGACTGCCAAGAGGGAAAGTAAGAGCGTTTTCTGTTCATTTTAGTCTTTGTTTTTGACGTTAGCTCCTTGCTATGCTAGTTAGCGAGGCCTGCTGCACAGCGCACCAGTGCGGTTGAATGAGATCTGAAACGCCTTTCTGCGTTGCGGTTGAAAACAACTGCGAAAATGAGTCAGTAACTGTTGTCGAACGTTATAAGGTCGTAAGTAACGGTATTGTTGTGATATGATAATGTTGATACATACACAACCGCTTCATTGTTTAGGGAATTCACTGGGTTTCTATTGATTGGAAAAAAGTTCAAACATTAACTGGTTCCCAAATGGGAAGATTTGCTGCTTTAAAAAAAAGGAAAATAAAATTGAGTATCTGAGGGCTCGTCTTGGGCACAGCAGGCAATTCCAATTTCTTCTATATGTATATATATATATATTTTAACATTTAATAGTCCAAGTAAATAATGGATAATCACGAAAAGCCTAATTTAAAACTGCAGCCACATATTAGTATATCAGTATTTATCTGATTTGCAGGTTAAAAAATGAGGATGTATATTAAATGTCAGTTCTCAAAGCACTGTTAGAACAGCTGTTAACTGTGTACAGCACTTAAAGAATCTATCACTGTCCAGAACGTAAAGATTTGGGAAAAGGCAATTATCCGTCCTTTAACTTTCATGTGTTAAATATCGCTGAGAAAAAATAGTAACTTTAACTCGTTGACTAAATTGTTAAATGTCACACAATGATTTAAACGCATATTATTTTCCCCCCCGGTGACCGTAATATGATCCATGGCAGACCTAAGAGGACTCTCTACAGCAAAAAGTATGGAGTGGATCTGATCCGGTACACACATGCTGCAAACACTGTGGTCTACAGCTCCAACAAGATCGATGGTAAGTTGATCCACTGATACTGTTTTATATCATCTGAAATGTGTGATTGTCGATGGCTAAAGTCATTAATAACGCTCACATGCATTTCGGTTGGCTGGAGAGGTCTTGTACTTCCACAGAGGTGAATCACGTCACTGTAATGCACTAGAAGACCACATTTGAATTATGTCATGATGTTTAGGATAATCTAAATTGTGAACGGTATCTAGTTGGGACTCTCCTGGATAGCGGCACTCGGCGCTCACTTTGGTCTGAGGTAGTTGTTTGTACAGTTTGAGGGTCTGTTATTCTGCCCCAAACAGGAGCTAACTGTACAAGTGACTGCCTTGCCCACGGTCGAGTCAACTCATCGAACCCGCCGGTCGTTGATTTTATGTTTCTATGCCGGCTGGTTTCTCGCTGCTGCCGGTCGGGTTTCGCGTTTGATTTTTATCATGTTGATTTCTTTTCTTAAAGATACTATCCGATATCTGTCTCTTCATGACAACAAATACATCCGCTACTTTCCCGGGCATAACAAAAGGTGAGCGCTGGATTTATTCTGGTCCATGTGAACTTCAATGTGATGTTTCCCGGACTCTGAGGTTTCTCTGTTCTAATACTATTCTCTCTTTTTAAATTTTTGTAAATACAGAGTTACATCTCTGTCCATGTCTCCTGTGGACGACACTTTTATATCTGGCTCATCGGACAAAACAATCAGACTGTGGGATTTGCGGTCGCCCAACTGCCAGGTGAGTCCGTTTTTTTTGTAATTTGCACCGATGTGTAATTGAAATTGGGGGGAAAAGGCCGTGGCTGATACTGACCTTCTGTTTTCATCTGTTGCTTCAGGGTTTGATGCACCTGCAGGGGAAGCCTGTGTGCTCCTTTGATCCAGAGGGTTTAATTTTTGCTGCGGGCATAAATTCCGAAATGGTTAAGCTTTATGATCTGCGGTCGTTTGATAAGGCAAGTTTCATAGGGAAAGTAGAATTTGTGGAAATAGCTTTAATGTAAAAGGAGCAAAAAATTCACAACAGCTCTTGTCAACAGGGTCCTTTTGCAACCTTCAAGCTCCAGTACGATCGGACGTGCGAGTGGACGGGACTCAAGTTCAGCAATGACGGAAAACTCATTCTTCTCTCTACAAATGGCGGCGCCCTTCGAGTCTTGGATGCTTTTAAGGGTGCGGTGCTGCATTCCTTTGGGGTAAGAGATGACGGGCACAATGTGTGAAAACAGGTGTTAACAAGAACCGCAAAGACAGACCTCACACCTACATCCCACAGTGTGTCAGTGAAAATGAAAAAGCCGTTGAAAACCCCGAGGCGGCCCCGACCCATCCGTTTAAATAACTCATTATCTTAAAACCGCTTTGGCAGTAGTAATGTACAGTAAATAACTTTAGCTGTTAATTCCCCCACAGGGCTACAACAACAGCAAATGTGTACCGCTGGAGGCGTCGTTCACTCCGGATTCCCAGTTTGTGATGATCGGTAGGTTTTTCAGTGCTGGTAATGGATTCATTCATTATTTCGCACAAGGATCATTAGAGGGCCCAGAGTCGTGCGGTCTTTAATTCTTTGTTTTGTCCGTACTTTGTTAGGCTCTGAGGACGGAAAGATCCACGTGTGGAACGCAGAGAGCGGCATGAAGGTGGCTTTACTAGACGGGAAGCACACGGGGCCGATAACCTGCCTGCAGTTCAACCCCAAGTTCATGACGTTTGCGAGTGCCTGCTCCAACATGGTGAGTGGGGGTGGCCAGCCTTTTTTATTTTAGGGTTCATGCTTGCCTTCACCCATCGCTGCCAGATTATATGAATCTGCAATGGTGTATTCTGGGTCATATTCCTCACCATCTGCTGTGGAGCTTTTATTGCTGCAGGTTGGTGTCCTACAACACCTCTTTGTTAAAGAAAAACAGTCCATTTTGTGTCCGTTAACGTTTGTCTCTACGATGTGTTGGCACCAGCAGGGAGCTTTGTTTAAATGACTTATTTTTCTGTGATTTGTGTGAGTTCTTAAGAATATAGAAATAGAGATAACCTCCTTTTGTAAATTAAAGGTTCACATTTGATGAAACATTTGAATGTTTTCTAATTTTTCAGGCATTCTGGCTGCCGACCATTGATGACTGATGACGACAAAGCGAAGGCTTCTGTCGGAGGCCGAAGTGAGCAGCGGGGGTCAGAACAGTTGTAAATTTCAAAGGACGCTTTGCAAACAAATTCAAATTGTAAATAAGTACTTCACAGAAACAGATCATTTGTTTATTCTTTTTTTATATCTCTATTTAACATTAAATTGTCTTTGTAAGAAGTTGTTTTGTCATGTTATTAATGTATATTATTATTAGTGTATACACATGGAAAAATACAATGACGCAAGTCATATTTATCTGATACAACCACAGATTTATTCTTAATGAATGATTTATTTTTACTGAATCTATCCAGATCCAGAAATGTTGTTATATTTATCAATAATGATAATAATAATGATAATGAATAATTTATTTATTATGGTATCTGTTTAGAAATATAGTTTAAAACTGGCGAGGCCTTGCAATGATATAGTGAATTTTATATTGCACCATTGCTATATTAATCTATATAACACGCTTAAAAGGACATAAATTACAAAATACAAATAGGGAATAACCAAGCACATTTTTTTGATAAAGTCCATGTGACTTTTTATTTAGTTTTTGGCGTAATACAAAGTTCGATGTCCAGTTAAAATGATTTTGTAATAAGTAAGAACCCTGCATGTCAGTGGTAAGTTGCATCTGACGTTCGGAAAATGCTGTCACCACATCCACGTGATTTGTGATTGTAAAAAAACATCTTGCGCAATCTGTTGACCCATCATCTGTTGTCGTGTGTAAATTAAGATTCACAACGTTTGATAAGTTGGGTAAACTTTCCAGGAAACAACTCACAACTCTTGCAACTGCTTTTTTATTATATATAAAACCGTTTTATCACGTCAGCCCGAATTATGAATCATTTCATAGAGTCATATTGAGGGTTTTGCTCAAACAGTACGAGATAAAATTAAATCCAAAACGCGAAAAGTTGTAAAACTCTGTTAATAGAACAACGGTAGTTCAGTGGAGAGTCTTGTGAAAGTACCTCACACTTAAATTGTTCCTGGCTCAGACGTTTGGCCCTTTATTTTGCGGGTCTGAGTCTCTTCCTCCAGCTCCTGCTGAGTTTGTGTTGGGGGTGTCACTGCCCCCCCCCCTCCACCCACTGCTGGCCAGTCCGTCACACAGAGAGCTAAATTTGGGGAGAGGTGATCAGGTTCCCTGCCTGTGTGCACGTGATGCTGTCCTAGTTACTTGAGCAATGCCTCTTCCCTCAACCAGTCCAGTCGCAGCACACCGAGTACGATCCGCTTCTTCAGCGGTCAGAGCCGAAGGTGTTTGTTTTTTTTAGTTAACGGCCACATCTGGTTGGACTTTAGTGTTTTATTGACCGGACTGGACATTTTGGTCTTGGCTCTGTGGGGCTCCAGTCCTGTCAAGTTTCTCCTCCTGTCATTCACCGAGCCCTCTGCCGCGCCTGGCGGGAGGAAGGAGACGGCTGACCCCTCGCCATGTTTCTCTCACTTGTGGTGACGTTGGAGCTGAGGGACTTCCTGGCCAAGGCAAGAGGTGGAGCAGTGCGCCTCATCAAGGTGCGCATCCAAGATGGTGAGTGAGCCGCCAGCGGCCCGACGCCGGGATGGAAGATAAAGCATGTGTTTGATTTTGAGTTTGAAGAAAAACAATCCGGCAACTCCAGAACAAATACTTTATCCATCGGTGTCGACGTTGGATCCCAACGCTGGTTTATGGGCCCTTTACATGTTTACTTGGGACCACTATTGGCATATTTCGGTGTGAACAGTCCAGTCACAGTGCGTTTCTTCCGTGTTTCATTGGAAGTGTACGATATAAACATGTAAGTAGTTTGACTTCATCCATTAATTGTTTGTTGACCCTTCAGATTCTTCTTGGGAACCACCAACTTTATAATTCCACCTGTACCTAAAACACGACTGCGGGGTCTTCCAGTGGCTCTTAAAGGTTTTAAACCAGTCACCTCCCTTTTCTATGAGTCCTTTGTTTTCAACCTGGACCAGCTTTTAAGTATTTTTTCTAAATTCAGCAAATTTTTACCTCTAGAATGTATTCTGAGTGAGCTAATCCCTGCCTTTCGTCCCCAGTTTGTGCCCCTCGTGTTACAGCTAAAGTTTTATTAAGCCACTTAAACATCAGTTGAACAACACAGTATGAACTAATATAAGTTCTGAAATGAATTGAGTTTTACATGTTAGAAATTGAGCGAGAACGTGTTATTTCCAGCCTCTCCCATTGTTTATTGTCCCGTTTTGAGGAATCTTGTAATATTGTAATAATAACGACTCAACTATTTTTTGAGAGATAAAAAAGGTAAAGCAAATATTTACTAATGTCAGTCTACCTTAAAGTGTGTGACTCGTTTCCTTTATTCACGTGGTTTGACCCTCTCGCGTCCTGACAGCAACACGAGAGCACAAACCGCTTCACTGTAAATCCTGATATTGTCTTTATGTCCTAAAAAACCTGCGCTGTCTTGGCTTTGTATTAAGGAGACACAAACTAAAAACAAAGTTGCCGAACCTCTTTCATGGGCTTTATCTTCCGAGAGGGTCAGCCGAGCCGTGAAGGATGGCGAGTGAGGCAATAAGTCTCTACGAGGCCGATTATGAAGGAGGACCGACGTGTTCGCGAGGTGTTGATATCTCGTTTTTGCTTTCTCATGCGTTCTGGGGCTATCTTTGTGGGCCGTGCCTCCCAATATCAAACATTTAGTCTCATATCTCAAGCATGGATGTCAACAGAAATAAGCTCGGGGCTCCAGAGACGTCAAAGGAGAAGATAAACGGGCCCTCGGGCCCGTTTCCTTGCTACGGCACTGTGGTGTTTCCAGGCGCCACACGGCTATTTCCGAGCAAAGCGTGACGGTTGCTGCACAGTGACACTCTGTTCGTCTCAATGTCAAACGAGAAACCAGATCATTGCGGTCGATGTCCTCACCGCTGGCTTTGGTGCGCCGCTCCGAACGCCCCCCCTCACCCAAACTGACCCCCGACAGCTTCTTAGGATTTGATTTTAATGTTCTAAATATGAAAGATGGGCTCTTAATGCTAATGCAGACCCTTAAGAACAGGGACTGGGAGGGCTGATGGAAAGTATGCTGTGTGTGCAGGGCTGGAATGTGTCGTGGCTCAGAATAGCAACAGGCCCCGAGAGATGGTCAGGAAATCCCCCTGCGCCCCAAAAAGGACATCAGACATTAGCCTGTGTCTTTGTGATTTCAGTAGAGTTTGGGGGTTTCTTGTTTGCTTTTGTCGATTCCATTGATTTAACCGCATCCTGTCGAGACGGTTCAGAAATCAGTCAGAAGTCTGTCTTTGCCTTTTTTCACCGCAGCAAACAGTCAGGTCATCAAACGGTCGCTTTGTTTCACAATCTATAGAAATGTTTTTCAGGTTCAAATACAAAGACAGTCAAATTGTAATTGTTGGTCGAAAAACAACAAAAAATATATTTTTCCACCATTTTATAATCATGGCCATTCATGTCATGATCATGAATGGTTAAATATACTCTCTAACACCACCTAAACTAATGAATTATTGTAAAGTTACAGATACCGTATATAGGCTAATAATAAATATTTATATGTGTTTAATGTGTCCTTTTTTTTAGAACATGGAAAGTTTGTATTTGAAGGCTTCAACGTAAATTTATACTGAAAAATACTGTAAAAAATGTATACAGTACTTGAAATACAGCAACTCCGTAGAGATCCCGGATAAGGTCTAAAAGGAATGACTTCTTGAAAGTTTAAAAGAAACATCTCATTCCTAGTTTAACAAAAAACATTATTGCACTTGATGTAAAGGAGTAAATCTACGTAGCTCGTCTGTGTTCAAGAAAGTAAATGATTAATTAAGCGGACAGAGAAACATTTTGTGCGACATTATCCGTGTACTGTCTGAACCTCGATCATCCTCTGCGCTGTGTAGTCGGCTTCGTGTCAGTGTGTAAAGCACGCGCTGCGTATCGAGGGGTGAAGGTATGTGATGAGAGGTGGTCTGATTTTCAGAGCAGCTGGTGCTGGGAGCCTACAGGGAGCCAGAAAAGAGCTGGGAACAGGATTACGATCACTTCCTGCTGCCCCTCCTGGACGAGCAGGAGCCCTGCTACGTCCTGTACCGCCTCGACTCCCAGAATGCACAGGGCTACGAGTGGATCTTCATATCGTGGTCCCCTGATCAGTCTCCGGTACGTCGCGCCACAAATCCTTCATTCAGCACCGAGATACTGATGGAAATCAGAAACATTTATTTGCCATGTGTGATGCGCAGACGAGGAAATTGTCATGGTGTGTAAAGCTGCACACACACACACACACACATTGCTGTTGATAGTGATAGAATACAAATTATTTGAAAATACTTCTACTAATTTTGTGTCAGACATTCAAACAGTTGCAATAGTCTGATTAAAAATGGTCTAAATCAAAGCAGCGAAGGTCTCAATATTCTGACTTAAAGCCCATAGTCCCAAAAATATGTCTCTCTGTCGATCTCATACTCACTTTGGTAACAACGTCACAACGGCCCTCAGACAAAATTCATACAGGCGAACAGCATCAGGAACAAAAGAAAAATACCAATCTTTACCAGCAAGATCCTAACAAATGAATACGGACCTCTGATTGTAAATGCGACCGCACTGGCATCATCCAGTTTGTAAACAAAGATGAAGAAAGATCTGGGTTTAATAAGAGATAATAATGATGACGTCAGCAGGGTTACCCAGGGAAAATTGGTGGGATACCACTTAGAAAGGCAGTCTTGTTTTTAGCTTTCTTTTTTTTTAATGCTGATACTTTTGGACCTTTTGTTGAGCAGTAATTTGAAGATAGGTCTTGTACTTATAACTGAGGAATCATGCGACATGAATACAAACAGCCCATATTTGTTCCAACCGGTTGGCTGCAGGTGAAACAAAAGATGTTGTACGCCGCCACCCGTGCCACAGTGAAGAAGGAGTTCGGCGGTGGCCATTTGAAGTATGAGATGTTCGGCACAGCTGAGGTAAGAAATGTTTAAATTCCTCAGAATTCACTGTGACAGATTTGACGACGTGATTCAGGAGCGTTTTGTTGTGCTTGAAACGCTACAGGAGGACATCTGCTTGATGGGCTACCAGCACCATGTGTCCTCGTGCTCGGGTCCCGCGCCGCTCACGTTGGCCGAGCAGGAGCTACAGAAGATCAAAATGTCAGAGGTGAGAGGTCAACAAGCCCCCTGCAGGGCCCCCATCTTTGGACGTTCTGCTTGTGTGTCATAACTTTCTTTATTTGAAATTGAATCTTTTGCTGTGGTTTTCTTTTCAGGGCCGAGTTAAACAGGTACGTCGGTGCCTTCTCTGCCCTTTGTACTCGATATGAATTCAGATTTCAGCAGTTAAACGAGGAGATGGAACTAATCCACTGGTACGTGTTTGTCTGCCTGTGTGTTTGCTGCCCCCTGCAGGTGAAAACCGATATCAGCGTGGAGAGTAAGCACCAGACCCTCCAGGGAGTCGCTTTCCCACTGCAGGAAACAGCCAAGAGAGCCATGCAGCAACTTGCCCAAAAACGCATCAACTACATACAACTGGTGAGGCTGAGGAGTCCCTGTGAGGCGCCGCGCTTCAGTGCTAAACTGCTGGTGTTTTGAAGAGAAGGAAAAGCACCCTGTAATCCGTGCGTTATCACCGTGTTTCAGAGGTTGGACGTGGAGAAGGAGACCATCGAGCTGGTCCACTCCAACCCGACGGAAACCCGGGATTTGCCCCGCAGGGTTCCCAAAGACGCCGCTAGATACCACTTCTTCCTCTACAAACACTCCCATGAAGGAGACTACCTGGAATCCGTTGGTTCGTGACTAAACACCCTGTTGCTTCAATGATCCTCTTCTTTTGCCATCTGTACAAGACGTACTGGCACGCATCGCACATCTTTACACCTGGACTGCACATAGAGAACAATAAAGCATGCAGAATGATCCACAATGGTGTTTTCTATGCATTTAACATGTCTTATACCGTAACACTTTAAATGATAAAGGCCCTCCCTCGAAAATGAAATGGTGGTACAAAATGTGAACTAAACTTGGTTTTATTGTGAAGATAATGAGAATGAACATGAAACTTCTGCACACACTGCACAAGTCAGACCCTTTAAACTAAAATTAAATCAGGTTTAAAGTGACCCTAACCCTAACCCTGATCAAAATAAACATTACTAAACCGTTATGGACCAATCCAGCAATTCCGGCAAGCCGACATGCACAATGCCAGGAGCCTGGTCCACCTCAATACCACAGGATGTAACTGATGTTATTAATAACACCTGTGTTTACCCGAGAACGGCAGGTTTCCCAACCTGTGCAGGCAGTTTGGCTGTCGTTAAGTTTGCTTCTGCGACCTTGCAGTCCACGAAAGCTCCGGTAGAAAAAGTACCTCCCAACAGCTAACCCTAAGCACTTTTCCATGAGCTCCATGGAAGATGTCATGGGGTCAGGAAAATATGTAAATAGGAATTAATGAGGATTTAGGTGGAGAGAAAAGCCGTGGCGCTTAGAGACCACACATCCGGCTTCACCTCCACTGAACTACGCAGTTACGAGGTGACGCAGATTGGCCAATGCAAACCACAAAGAAGAGCGCGCGTCCAAATCATGACCTTCAGAAATCTATAAATCTGTCGCATGCAGGCTTCACAAAGCGTTTCCTTTGTGAGAGAGGCTGCCTCCCTCGTGGTGTGATGGAGAGAATCCAAAGCTCCTTGCTTCCTGCTGAGGCCACACTTTGCAATCATCACAGCTTCTGGTAGAAACAATTCACTCGTGCAATATCGATAAAACCATATGCTGAAAAACTCCCCATCCAGAACGCCAAGCCCACGCTCATCTAAGCACTCCATTGTTCTTTTGAGATAAACATAGTGTCCACAAAGCTTCACGCGTCTCCGGCTAGGTGGTAGAGCAGTGTCCCCCGTCAATTAGTGAGTCAGCGGTTTGAGCCATCTTCAGATGGGTCTACTAAATGCATGTAAAAGATTTACACTTGAGAATTGTCTTCTTCTCCTCCCCTGCAGTATTCATATACTCCATGCCTGGATACAGCTGTAGCATTAAAGAGCGGATGTTGTATTCCACCTGCAAGAGTCGACTACTGGAAGAGGTGGAGAAAGATTACCATTTGGAAGTTGCTAAAAAGGTAACGGAAGGACGCATTGCTCCCTTTTGATTTTATTTCCATAAGGGTTGATTTTTGTGTGTTTTGACTCCATATATTTGAATTTGTCCACTTTTGGCTCTGCATAGATACGTAGAGAAAGGATCATAAGTGTCCTTCACCAGACTTGCTCAGAAAGGCTTTGACACAAACCCTCATGTAGTTTCTACAGAAATAAGGGCCGGATATGCTTCATTGACCTCAGCAAGCTCTTCTATCCTTTTGTATCCTTGTGCAGTTGGAGATTGATAACGGAGATGAGCTGACAGACGAGTTTCTGTACGATGAGGTCCATCCCAAGCAGCACGCCCATAAACAGGCCTTCGCTAAGCCCCGAGGCCCGGCAGGAAAAAGGGGACATAAGCGCCTCATTAAAGGGACGGGAGAGACCACACTGCACAGCTAGAGGGGGATACATTCCTCTCAAGAGTCGGGTCTGCGGTTCCAGCCCTCTTTCTTTCCCCCGACCCCCCAACACCTCGTCAGGCCCGGGGGAGCGAGCACATTCTGCCGTCTCCTCTGTTGCCTGTGGACTGAAGCGCCTTTGCTGTATAACTAATATTATATATGTATATTAACTAAAGATCGGACTCCCCCACAGACAAATACAGGTGCATGCACATTTATACAAAGGTTTATTGATAAAGGAAGAGATGAGCAAAAAGAGTCGGGCTGGAACCAGGGCAGATGGGCTTGTTATTGTAAATCTAATTTCCCTGTTTCCTCCACGCTCATGAAAATATGTCTGCAGTTTACAATGTGATAGATGTGTAATGAATTGTAGATGCTTAGTCAGACAATTCAGCCGTCACATTTGGCCTTCAGTTACAAGTTTTGTACCAATAATGTTTGTAAGACAATGTAAAAGGAAATTCTAAATAAATCCTCTTTATACTGTGGTAGTAGACCGTCTGGGTTCACATCTGTGTTTCGATCACTCGTGCCATGTTTCATGCCTGGAAGTACTTCATGTTTGTAAATGTTCTACATAGTTGAACCATCAGCCTGCTCGTTATGTTAAGAAAATAATAATTAGGCATTCAGGCATACACACGACAACGGCTTCTTGTCACGGCAGTGAGGTTGCAGTGTGTGAAAGACTCCACTGTGGGAATTTAACTGCATGGAAATCAGTTCAGCGGGCGTTTTGGCCTGTGTGGTATCAGAATACCGAGCACGTACGCATGCAACCATTGTGAAACAGAAAAAAAAACCTTTTCTATAATTGTTAACAACTCTTTTAATACAGAACCTCCTTTTTATGGTTTCCGAGGTCATGTCAGCTGTTCGATCAGTGTGTGTGCATATCTTAAAATTCTTCCACATGCCTCTGCATAACCTGCATGGATCAAGGCCAACAACGTGCCCACACAGTGGGCGGGCCGCTCTCTCTTTGTCCCTTTGTCTGCTAATCGCCGAAAGGTGTCTCGGCTGACTAAAAGAATAAGCTGATTAGTTGCATTCGTGGACCAAATAGCATGAGGAATGTCCACACCAATGCTCCGACAATCATCAAAATGAAAACACAATGTTGATGTTCTACGGGATCAATATTTACAATGTTAACAATCTTAGTTTACCGTGTCGTCATGCAAACATTTGGTAATTATCCTTGAACACAGCATGATAAGGATGAGGATCAGGTTTGGCAGGGATTTGGTCACATGCAAAGTTCTGAATAAAGCAAAAATGTAGACCTGATGTTGGTGCTTTATGGAGAGTTGGGGATCAACAAAGCCAGTTTGTGTACTTGGGGCTTGGGTGTCCATCCCAAGCAGCACGCCCATAAACAGGCCTTCACTAAGCCCCCGAGGCCCCGGCAGGAAAAAGGGGACATAAGCGCCAGTTTGAATCCTCTGAGTAAAAATAATTTCTGCTATTTATTTCAATCTAGACCAAAGCAGCATTCAGCATTATACAAATCTGCAAAGATCTGCAAATGAACTCAATAAAACTACTAGTGGAAATTGTTTGAGTCAATTGTGGTGGAGAAGAACCTTTCTCAGCAAATGCCTTGTTCCCTTTGAATGAATAAAACACGCTGTTGCTAGTTTCATGCGAGTTACGCGATTCTCTGAATATTTTACTCCAAATTGAAAGAGGACAGCAATGCTGCACTGTTCCACACATTAATCCACTTGCACAATCTTAGTAGTGTTTGTACAAAGTGAACACGCCATAGGATAGGGTGTGCGTCGGGTGGGTGTGAGAAGCACTCTTTGTTCTGCAGTACAGACTGTAATGACAAGTAAATGTGTCTACGTTGCCAGTGAGAAAGCTTCAGGAGGACCTCGGAAAATAAAAGGAATTCATAATTTGAAGAATATTTCTTCAATCCATAGTTTTCCATAACAAAATATGGGAAGGTATGTTACTTAAAATACCAACAATGGCCCAGATATATTACTAATGGAAGCAAAACTACCAAACTGGGGGTGAATTACTCCATTTTGGAATGACACAAATAACAAAAATGGTGTTGCAGATCGAGCAGCCAGCAAGTTTGTAAATTACAAAATAAATTACATTTACTAGTATTCACTTGAAAACTCACATCAGTAGAAGACAAAACCAGCAAACCAGCCACTAATCATAAGATAAAAGCTTTTCATCCCCAAAACCATTAATGTTGTGACTGCCTTTCAATCCCACTACTTCTAGGAAATGCAAACCCCATAATGGAGTCTGAGATAGTAAATGAGCAGAACTATGATCATTTCTAAGGAATAAAGGGCACAAATGTTTATTGGTTCCTGTTTGACCAGTGTAAATATTTACTGCTAGATTGGATAAAATAATACATCACTAAAGAGACGTCACTTGGGTTTCTGGGAACGAAGGACCCTAAACCCTCAATTAATAAAGAAAACTCAATTGTAATGAAAATAATCATTGGATTCAGTCCAAACACATTGGATCATCCACAGATACTATCCACCGTGGACACACTGTGTGTAGAATACCCTGTTCTCTTATTTGACGTTTTGGCCTCCTGATCACAGTGATCACAAAAGCAGCGCTTCAAAAATGTAGAATTATACTGATGTGATTGACCCCATGGACACGGAGTTAGGATTACAGCCAGCTATAAATTTGTCTTTTCATCTTGAAATTCTTGGTAATTCCCCTGACGTCCTCATAAAATGTTCTCCGGTAACATAAATTGTCCAATCTGCGAACAGAATGTTTAATTTTTTTGTTTGTGTATCGTATTTTATTATATTAAATGATGTCTTTTACGATTCGTTGTTTTATACCATTTACCAAGACAAAGTCCTTTTTGTGTGTAAAATACTTTGCAAAACTTTTCATCCACCTTGAGGCAACATTTATTTGGAAATGCTAGCACAGCATCATGGGTTCAATTACACATTCAAAGAATCTTTTATGAGGAATCTCATTTCTTTAAATATAGTTTATCTCGTGTCAGTCAGTTCCTGTTGCAATGTGCCACATGTGATTAGTGTAAACTAACATGCAGTTAGTGTAAACTGGGTGCATATACTGCAAGTGGCTCAGGTTTAGTCAAAGTTAAAATAAAAGTGTGTTTTGTTTTTTTCATTCCGACTAGAAAAAACATATTTGGCAGATCCACAAGACCTTATTTCAGGATATCTTGGGAATTTTTTCGGGGCTATTTTGTATCAGCAGGCCCTCGTAAGGCTGTGATATGATAGGAACCAGTGTGTGTGTGTGTGTGTGTGTGTGTGTGTGTGTGTGTGTGTGTGTGTGTGTGTGTGTGTGTGTGTGCGCGCGCGTGCGTGCGTGTATCTGCATTTATTGGCTTGCAGTTTTCCGTGTACTTTCAAATCGATAAACTCAGATAATATGCTCTGTGTGTTTGTGGGGAGCATTTTCGAAAACTGAAACGTGTAAACCAGCATCAGCGTTACAACATTTTTTATTTGGCTTTTTATTTAAAGAAAATATAATATTTGTATTTATACCTTAGTTGGATTCCCGAGAAAAACAAACGCCATGGGAGATTAAGAACAGAAATAGGATTCTACATTCAAACTTTTGGGCATTATTTACTAATTAATAAATCCACAAGAATCATGAGGAGCAAAACATTTTCTGCGGCCCGAGAGTCGCGACGACCGGTTTTTCTAGTTTATTGTCACAATAACAACTTTGCCTTCCGGGCCGCAATTAGTCCAACAAACCTCCGAGAAACCCCATCGCCGTGTTTTCCACTGGGATCGAGGAGAAATCTACATTAGTGGAAACAGCCCGGGTGAATTTCTATTATCTTAAATGTTGAGGCGGTTAAATTCCCAGAAAGGAGGCTCTGTCGGGGCCGCGCGGCGGGGCGGAGTCTCGCCCCTGCAATCATTCCTGGAAAGCAGATAGGGAGAAGCTGCCGCGCGGTTCCTGGGAGCGCCTGTTCAACGAAGGCAGCAGCCGACGGGCGGACAACCGGGGTGGAGGGTCTCAAAACACGGGCCGAAATACGTGACCATGTTTAATCCAGAGAAATGAAGAAGGAAAAATAACACGGCCTCAAAAAAATAATAACACAGCAAATCCTTCACATGAGAAAACACGCAAAAGAAAACCCGACGGTCTTTTCTCCCCGCAGAGAGACGCGCTGGTTGGTGCAGAAAGCGGAGTTGGTGCGGCCGGCGTGACGTCACAGCCGCCGGTGGCGTTCTCAGAATAGACTTCTAGGAAACGGGGATTTTTAAAAAGCCGAGCCTTTACACTCTGTCCTTCACACGCTCGGATCCCATGCTGGCGACAACACGCTCCGACCCGCTGCCGAGGACACTCTGAAATGTATCGCTGTCCCTTTTTTTTAACTGGACGTTTTGTTTCCGGTGTTTTCATATAAACCGCAGGGACGCATCGACACAGGATACACGGCGCTCTGTGATTGTCCCGCTCCTACCTTGTCGAGGTTAAAGCTGGCTTTTCATTTCATAAGAGCTTTGGTCTCTACATTACATGTTCCTTATCCTTCATTTTTTGAAGGATAACTAGTGATCGGATCTTAGCCAAGAAGAATCGGGAAATAGTATGATTCTTTGTGTACCAGGGTGAGTTGACTTTCTTTGTGTCTGCTTGTTCTCTTTTATGGTCCGTGTAAAGACCAAAACCATTATGAAGTAATTACCCGGAACTAGTGTTCCTTTATCATTTAAAGATTTTTTGTATGCGATGTTTTTCTGTGATCAAGTGTAACAATTTCAAACACAGAGGCTTATAATAAAACAATCGAAAACAACACTAATAAATGTAATTGTACTGTACTTTTTGTATTTAACTTTTATTTTATTTTTGTCTAAATGTTCTTATTAAGTGCTCTTGCCAACAACTAAAGGCAAAACCCAAGTAAAACAAAATATGAGACAAAAAGCGAAGACAATAAAAATGTGATTATAAAACTCAACAGCAAATACTTGTATTGTATTATAATATTCATGTGGTTTTCAAGTTGAAGGTGGCTACTGAAGTGAATTTCTTTTCTCTTTTAATCATTTTATAGAATAATAGTAATTCTAATATTGCCTTAAAATAGAAAAGGAAAGCCCTCTGTAACTGTTTAAAAAAATATATTTTCCATTTTAATTTCAGTCCGAGAGCTTCTCTGCCCGGTGCTCTGTCCACTGAGAGTCCACGGGGTATGCGGGCAGGAGCCGCACCTTCCACGCCATGCCTTCAAAGCACCCCCCCACCATGGGACCCCACAAAGGACCTGCGAGCAATTGCAAGCAACTTCTGCTATCTAGAAAATTCAGGTACAGTTTAACATTTCTTTACCTTTTACATCCGCAAATGCGGCTCTTGGAAATCCACAAACCGTCGCTTCGCGACATTTGGCTAAATAGTTTAAGGGGGCAACGTTAACTGTAAAACAAAGAGAGCAGCGGAGGACCGTGAAAAGGCACGGAGCGTTCAGAGCGACTAACGTGTTTGGATCCGTGTGTGTGTGCAGGGTGGTACTGGGGAGCTGTAACGGCGGCTCAGGCCCACGCCGCGCTGCAGGAGGCGTCTGAAGGAGCGTTCCTGGTGCGAGACAGCAGTCACCCTCTGTACATGCTGACCCTCTCGGTCAGGACGGCCCGCGGTCCCACCAGTATACGGATCCAGTACAGCGGCGCCATGTTTCTGCTCGACTCCAGCTCCCCGGCCCGGCCCACCCTGTCGTCCTTCCCCAACGTGCCCAGCCTGGTGCAGCACTACATGGGGCCGGAGAGGCAGGCCGAGGAGGGGAAGGTGGTGGAGGACGCTCCTTCAAAGCCCTCTCAGCAGACAATTCAGGAGACGTCTGTGGTCTTAAAACTCAAGCGGGCCGTGTTCAAGCCCCAGGGGCTCCCCTCTTTACAGCACCTCACGCGCCTCGTCATTAACAGACACTCGGACTGCCCCGAACAGCTACCGCTCCCGAGGCCTCTGCTGCGTTACGTACAGGACTACCCCTTCAAGGTGTAAAGGCTCCCTGAGGTCCATTATTCCAACCTAAAAGGAGGGTGGGGGGGAAGCCCCTGTCACACAGGTCCTGTCCTTCAAAGAGTGCTGCACAAGCTGTTGGGAGGCCCAGTCACGAAAATGCTGGACACGGGGTCATAACTTTTGCTGAAGAAATGGGCACAATATCAGTAAATACTGACTGGGCTGGTTTCACACTTGATTCGTGGAGGACTGAGTGACGAAGTACACGAGGTGAAGAGGACTTGAGAGCAAACCTCCGTACTGTAATCCTTTATTTCATGATGGATGTGGAAATTGTCCATATCTGTATTACCATAATCAGTTAATGAAGTACAAGCAGTTCCAAAGAAGGACATGGATTCCATCGAGACATCTTTTATGACATTTTTTCTACCTTTTTACATGTGTACAATTTTCTATTAAAGAAAAAACGGCTGGAGTCCAACTAGCTGTCTTTCGAATTATTTTCTCTTTTCAGCAGGCGGCACGGCTCACAAAGAGAAACCCCGTCCATCATCATCTCTATTCACCGTCACATGATAAATTGCTCTTGTGACATTTGTTGGGAAACATTTTCTGCATCAAATCACCTTTGAAACACAAAGGCCGATCTGTGAGTGGGCTGACGTGCGCAAGTGAAAGCAACATTGTGTGCGCGTGTGTGCGTGTGTGTTTTTGCTCAACAATGCCTACAGCCTGCGTCTGACTCAGCGAGTGGACGAGCGAAGGGGAGGACCGTTCATCAGCGGATTCACAGAACTGCTGAAGGCTTCCTGGGAGGAGGGAGAGATTCTGGGAGGGAGGGTTCTAAGAAAAGCCTCAGTAATTACCTTCAGCTTTCAGAGTCCGCTTCTGTGCCACCTCGCGCGCAGTTTTTATGGCGGCGCAGGATGTGATGGGATCACAAATGCTACCAGATTTAAAGTGCAACAGCGACGTGGAAATGATCCTGAGCCTCGGCGAGTGGTGAATGTTTGAGCAATGAAGTCGGTGCGAGGCGGCTCTGTGGGGGTGGGGCGGCTGAGGCTGTGGCGTCCCCGGGATAAAGGCAGCGTAATAGGATCTCGCTTTCTCAATCCAGATCCAGCTTGTGGTCCTTGTTTGATTTCTCTTTGCGAAGGATGCAAAATCGTGGCCTGAGACGCAAAAAAACAAACAGAGGAGGCTATGAAATTGAATTGCAAAACTAGCACAAGGAAAGCGCTTATTGAGCTCTATTAAGTGATCAAGTTAAGAGTTTAAAATTAGGACCTCACTTAAAATGACAAAGAGTGGTGGGGCAACGCTTTAGTGCAGAGGTTAAATAACGAGAAACTGATTAAACGCCATGAAGGCCGAGCGGCTCTGCTCAACCGACCTGCCACTGACGTCGTGCCGCGTCTCCACATAACGCATCTCTTCCACATTCGCCTCCACCCACCGCCGGATAAGCGGGGGGTGTCTAGGATCCACTTCCAAGTAAACACGTCTGTTATTCACCAGAAAAGGGGAAAAAATGGTCATGAACAGGACAGAATTATGAGAAACAAGAGTGGCGTGTCACAGGAACGCTTTAACTGAGTCTTTTAAAAAAGCTTAACCTATTAAAGAGGCAACTTGATATGTGTGTTTTTCTCTTTCTTGTGACAAGCCGCAGCCACAGTGGGAATTAAACCCAGGTGTGTGTGTGTGTGTGTGTGTGTGTGTGTGCGTGTGTGTGTGGCAGTGGAGTTTCTTACCCGTGATTTGATAGAATCTGAGGAGCCAGAGTCAAAATCTGTTTGATTACTTTCAGGCCGTCTATACCTCCATCTAAAGCAGCGTGGTCCTCAAACCTGGACCCCCAGTAATTGAATAAAATGTGTTAAATACATTCATTGGATGTCACATATTTCCAAAAAAATTACAACAACTTTGGAAGAAGTACTTCATACTTCATAAAAACTGACTGAGAAACGACGGAGTATACTGAATGTGTTTTAGTCACCGAAATATTTCAGGTTCCAACGTGTCCATATCCTCCGAGAACAGGTACGGCGGATTACTGACCAAAGTTGAAACATGGCGACAAAGGCTTAACACGGTTTCTGCATCTGCCCAAACACAAAGCGCAACCGTCTCTTATCAGCAATACGTCGACGTGCATTTTACCACTGGAGAGCGTTGCTTTTACTTACCCTTTATTACATCTAAATGGTAAACCTGTAATCTGTCCTGAAGCCCCAACCTGCACAAAGACATCCTTTATCAGACTTCATGCACTATGCCAAAGTTAAACAAAAAAAAGTAGTGCATGACTTTTGCCACAATAAAAAGTAAATGAATAACGCCATTTACAGCTTACGTATGCTGTGGTACCTGAGTGCGTTCTCTCCTGTTAAATCCACTGCATCCTGGCTTTGATCCAGAGCAATGACTTTAAGCTTGTAGAAAGAGAAACAAACACCGCGATTAAAAGTGACAATTACCTTTTGGAAACAACTACCTCAGCGAAAATAACCCATTTCTCTGCAAGTGAGTTGTGCATTCTGTAAACAGCGTGGAAAGAAAAATAAAAAAGACGTCGCTACACTTAATGCGTGCTCGGTTCTGCAGTGAGCTGAAACAACGTACTTTGCTATGAGCGGTGAAGACATCAGTGTGCTGTCCTGGCCACGTGTATCCATTCTACAGCTGTAACTAATGAGAACTGTCCTCATCAATTAACCTACTGCTTATCATACTATGAAACCATCCTATTAAGCAATACATTAGTTAGCCTCTAAAGAGCCACAATTGGTACGGGGCCATCACCTGTGGGTAATGTAAGTACCATGTTTTAACAAGGAAGGACAATGAATGGAATAAATAAGGAAATCGTTTAATGGCAGGCTTTCAAAATGCTAACATGGACAACGCTAACAGCTCCGCGATCAGCACGTGTCATAGTTAATTTACTTCTTTAACTACACTAAACTAAATCTTAGATGGGTTTGATATTGGTACAGATTAAATATCAAGGGATTACCAAAGTTATTCAGATTCATCCTGCAGGGAACATGAACGTCTGAACCAAACAGGGAAAATTGTTTTCACTCAAAACCCCAATTGTCAACCTAAAGGGTGTCACTTTAAGAATAGTCATGAATAACAAACATATAACATCTGTGGACCATAAAAACTAAATGGGGTACATATATCACATGCTGAGATGGTGAAAAGGGAAAACCTTGACCTAGAGAAACAGCCAGGGGATTCACTGTCAGCAGCCTCTGGAGACCATGAACGTGTGGACCAAATTCAATGGCAATCCATCCAATATTTACACGTGTTGCACTGATGAACCAACGGGGCCGTTCCTGGAGGCCAGTTAGTTACAATGAACCCAAACCTTACCTGGGGGAGACTCTTCAGCAGACTAAGAGCGATGGCACCAGAGCCACATCCCACTTCCAAGCATGTATGCGGGGCGTCAACACCGGCTCCAGTCCCGGGCCTCATGTCCACATCGGTGAGCACGAGTTCAACCAACTCCTGCACCAAACGCACACAGAGAAAACGCTGCTCTGGTCACGTGCGACGGACCGATGGGATCTGACTGTGCGCCGTAGGTACGCACGGCTCGATTTCCCCCACAACGAACCTCGGTTTCAGGCCTCGGTATGAAAACGGGGGGTCTCATCTTCAACGTCAGATCTCTGAAGTCCCATTCCTCGATCACATACTGCACGGGCATTCTTCGTCAAACATGCACACTTGTGAGAATTCTCAGTGAACAAAAAGCCCGTTCGAATACTCATCTGTATGGAGGTGTAAGCAGAAACTTCATACCTGGATAGGCGTCTGGAGCAGAGGCGCCACATCTGCTCTGTTTTTTCTGGACTTAGAAACTCTGATAGCTTGCCCCGCTCGAGACTGTTTATCTGAATACGTTATACGAGAAAAACAAGGTATGTTGTTAAATGTTAATTGAAACATCTGGGCGTCCAAGAAGAAAAATGGCTAAAGAAATGTCCACTCGCAGTTTTAGCACCGAGCAGGTAAGCGAGGATGTGCAGGCTGGAGTGGTCGGGCTCCATCACGCCTCTCTCCACGAAGTGATTCGTCCATAAATCCACCGCCTGCAGCGCTGTGATCCGGCCTGCGGGAATGGCTGGAGTGCTGCATGTTCGCACCACACGGGAGCCCCAAAGTCCCTAAAAGATTAAAGTGAGTTCCTAAATAACCACAAACAGCTATCCCGCATTCCAGCTGTGGTTAAACAGGAAATTGTTGATTTCCCCGTTGTGACTCCTTCTTGAGGGAATTAAATTCCGCGGCGTTATTAGATACATCTTAAAAATCTAATTCAATGCGGTACAAGAGTGCATGATTCTCAGATGTGTCTCTCACGTGACAAAATAAGATACTTTGTTTGAGTGAGCCCACCAAACTATTTGTGGCCCACAGCTTCTTAGAATTAAAAACATAATAACTGTCACCATTCCGGCCAGTTACTGCAACTATCACCTAACCTTCCAGTTATTTCCCTTCTTTCCATTTCCCTGATTCATCCCCAGAGAGAGGAATCAGTCATTGTTCATAGCCATGTTAGCATATGATAAATATTAAAGTGTTTATTGGCATTAATAATATAAACAATGTTGTAGTTTTTTGTTGATGTGTATTGTCTATCTTTTGGGGAACATAATCTATGGGAGCGGCAAGAAGACCAATCATTTTGGAAAATGACAGTTCATATTTCACTCGTTTTGGGGATAAACTCAGGAGTTGCCTGCCTTGTTTTTAGTTTTAGTGGTGCTGACCAAGACTTTTATCAAGACTGTGTCCCTTTTGAAGCATAAATGTAATATAATCTTTGGTTCAAAAGTATTTACAAACTGTCTATACGCATATTCAGTAGCACACACACACACACACACACACACACACACACACACGCGCACACACACACACACACACACACACACACACACACACACACACACACACACACACACACACACACACAAGTAATTGACCCTTTAGCTCTCCAAATGTTGTATGAGGTGATATGAGGTAATAATAAGGACATTACCACATCTTTCCCTTCCCACTCATCTGCCTGTATGTGTCTATATGTATGTATTTTTAACAGCATGCCTAACTCCACTGTGCTTAAAGCAGACCTCATCGTTACCGAGATAGAACAAAAATCTATTTGACATTGAGTTACTTTACCTTTATTCCAACAATCCTGCACCCAACGCTTCGGTAGCCTGCACACAAAGACATCCTCCACATGATTAATATAAACGAGGATACGCTTTTTTTTACACCATTATTCTTTAACGCTGCATCTGGTTGGTGTTCTGTCGTCCTATATGTACACTTTCTTGTAAATGTGTACCACCTGGACCCTCCTATGTGGACATTAAGCTAACTTTTCTGTTGCCAGTGGCATGCAGCTTGATGTCATTTCCTACACATGGCGCAGCAAACCGCTTCAGCTGTTGTCTGCGCACGCGGCGCAGCACTGACCCTGGTGAGGAGTGTTTCCTTCAGGGACTATCGAATATGGGATATTTTATTTAGCACGTAAATGACTAAAATCCGAACAAAGTGGTGACAGTCGCTGAAACTTGATACATTTATAGATTTTAAACGTTCAGATGATTTAAGGTGTGGTAAGATCGATGTAAATCGATGTCTGCAACTGGTGGTCAATGTAGAAACCTCAAACTTAAAGATATATAATACAATCTTAAATATATTTCCCCCACATTGTAGTGAAACTAGAGACATCAAATATGTCTGGAAAATATATTGTGTATGTGTTTATTTTTGTCTGTTACCACAATGAAGACGTCCTCCACTGCCCGCGCAGTATCTACGACTCTGCGTTGGTAAATAACGAGGAGCTCGTGAACACATCTTTACTGTTGTTCCTCAAACTGCGGCGCATAAATAAATAGATAAATACATCGATTGTCGGAGAGTTGTTTGATAGTTGTCTATGAGGTTGACAGCATTTGTGTCAGAGTACAGTGTTAACGCATTAATCCGGACGTCCGGATTCAGACGCCAGAACTGCCAGATGTGTTTCACGGGAGGTCACAGGCTTGTTTTTTCAACGTTACACCGGGAAGCTAGCAGCTAGCTTCAGCTGCTAATAAGCAGGCGCGCCAGCCTAATGCTGGAGGCTTTCTCCTGAAACTTGAAAAGTTGCATCAACTCAACATTTATTTGGCGTAAGGTTGCCCTGACAACCATGATGGGCATGGCCTCTCGAATAGAGTGTTTATTTTTTAGTGAGTTTCACCCTACCCTGGGTCCAAAGATAACATACCAGGTAAGTTATACGAGCAAATACGATGATCGTAACCAGGGAAAAGACCACAACTTTGCTATTATTACCATAGCAACTGCCACCCACTCCATCAATTACCCCTGGATGGTAAAGCTGTGATAATCATTTGATATCAGAAACACAAAGTACATTAGTGTTAAAGATTGTTAAAAGAATAATAACTGATATGACCGGCATATTGTGTTCTGTTATGGGATGTATTATATCATACTCTGTGTCCTCTCATGACAGGTCCCAGAGGAATACATTTCACGAGAGCTGTTTGACACAGTTCAAGTCTATATCATCACCAAGCCAGAACTGCAAAACAAATTGATAACCGTGTATGTATCAACCCCCCCCCCCACCCCCCCTCTTGTAAACAGGATTTTTTGTTTAGGCCCTTTTTTCATCTTTCAACTATCCCATTTGCTCTTTTTTTTTTTTTTTTAGAACCGCCATGGAGAAAAAGTTAATTGGGTGTCCAGTGTGCATCGAGCATAAAAAGTACAGTAGAAACGCCCTCCTCTTCAACCTTGGCCTTGTTTGTGACGCCCAAACCAACACCTGTGCCCTCGAGCCAATAGTCAAGAAGTTGTCCGGGTACCTCACAACTCTGGAGGTTGTGAATGATGCGTCTTCATAACTGTCCTTTTCACTTTATTGCTCTGGTGTTTGCATAGTTTTCAGTAACAAGCCATCACAGGGACAATCTAAAATCTCGTTTGCTTGTTGCATTGCAGCTGGAGAGCGGCTTTATATCCAATGAGGAGAGCAAGCAGAATCTTTTACCCATTATGTCGACCTTGTTAGAGGAACTTAATGCCACAGGAGCGTGCACCTTACCCATAGGTACATTTTTTATTTTACTATGTATATTCCAGGTGTATCTCTTTAACGTACAAGCTGATGATGGTGCTGATCTACAAATTGTGCGGATGTGTTTGTAGGAAACCTGTACAGCTTCTTTTGACTTTAGGTAAAAATCTAAGTAGTAGGGAAGTATTGGGAACTAAAGCTCATGGTTCAGCATTTTTCAAATCTCCCTTTCTGTCCTGTGCTTGTTTTTAGATGAGTCCAACACCATCCACCTGAAGCTGATCGAGCTGCGCAAGGACCCCCCGATCGTCCAGGAGTACGACGTGCCCGTCTTCACCCAGTGCAAAGACCATTTTGTCAAATCTCAGTGGGATCTCACCACTCAACAGGTTGGCCTTGTCCCCCGTATCAAGGGGCCTCGTGATAAGATAAAGTGTGCCAAAATTCTAAGAAGAGGATTAATGTTCGGCAATAAAGCAATAATGTTCCACTTCCTGTTTACTGCAGATTCTGCCCTACATTGACGGATTCCGACACATCCAGAAAATCTCTGCCGAAGCGGATGCGGAGATGAATCTTGTTCGCATTGCGGTGCAGAATCTTTTGTGAGTATGTGTCAGCAAGTAAAGGGACACACCAGTGGCAGGGGGGATGTGCTTCAAAACTCCAGTGTTTTCTAGGAACACTAAACACTGAGCCCGGGGCTTTGTCCATACCAGCACGTCATACCAAACAACTAACCCGTTGTCCAGTGTTAATGACAGCCAGCAGCCATTTTATCATTACATCTGCTCTCTTTTAATTATTTGGTGTGGGTGGGTGGGTGGGTGTGTTGCACTTCAGTATTGTGAGACTTTTATTTCCAGATAATACAAAAAGAGAGACGCTCAAATTCTCCTTTTCCTCACAGGTACTATGGGGCTGTGACCATGGTATCAATATTTCAGGTATGGTGGTACAATGTTTGATATCAGGCCCCTATTAGTCATTATTTCAAGAAAGGTCTAGGAGAAAAAATAGAAAAAGTTGATTTGTAAGTTAAGGTCATTCACGTCCTTCATTTAAGACGTCAAAGCTCAGATTTGTTTATTAACATTTTTAAATAATGTTATTATATGTTCCACTTCAATCTCTAAACTTTAATATTTTTGTATACACAATTTCTTTCTTTTAATATTTCAATTTCTTCACACCAGACTAATCCTGTTCCATAACGATTTGGGTGATTGTCTTGTACCTTTTTACCTCCATCCAGTACTCTAATGTGTATTGCACCACCCCCAAAGTCCAGAGCCTCATCGACGATAAGTCCGTTCAGGAGGAGTGCCTCAACTACGTCACTAAGCAAGGTAAATCCAGGCCACGATTGTTCTACCCGGGCGTTGTTGTGTTTTTCTTTTTTCTTTTTGTGGTGTTTATGGTTGGATCATCTTTCAGGTCAGAAGCGAGCCAATCTGAGAGATGTGTTCCAGCTGTACTGCGGTCTGAGTCCAGGAACCACCGTCCGAGACCTTTGTTCTCGCTACTCGCTGCAGCTTCAAAGGGTTGATGAGCGGTCAGCATCAATCACCTTATCAGTTGTTGATGCCTAATGACTCCTGAATAAAGTCAGGTCAGAGTGACTTTTATTCACATGTCATGTCATGTGTTGCTGTTCAGGCGGCTGATCCAATTTGGACTGATGAAGTCCCTTATTCGACGACTGCAGAAATATCCAGTGAAGGTGATCCGGGACGAGCGGAGCAGGCTGCCTCGACTCTTCACCGGTTGTCATAGTTATGACGAGATCTGCTGCAAAACAGGCAGGTCATTATATATGTTATATATGAATAATAAATAGTGGTAAGTCTTCTTACAGTGTCACACTTTTACAGGAATCAGTTACCAGGAGCTGGATGAACGTTTGGAAAACGATCCCAACATCGTGGTGTGCTGGAAGTGACATCAATTTTCTTTTCAAGGTTCTTAATGATACAGAAATGCTTCAACCAACGATGCCTTCAGTAATGGGAATAGTTTTCTTGAAATACTGGTGGAATTAAAAAAGTATTTGTTATATTAGGTTATATATAAGTGTTTTAAATTTGATCAAAATCCTATTTAGGTAAAGTGATTGTTATGTTTATTAAAATTGTACAAAAGAGAATTTGTGATAAATAAAATATTATCCAACAATGTCTTTTTATCTGTCTTTAAAATTACAGTCCATACAAATAGGGAATTTGACATTTTAGGTAATTTTGTAACCATTAAGAATTGAGCCTCCGATGGAAATAGAAGGAAAGAAAGAAGATCTCGTGTTACTTCGAAATTATTATTTTTTTCTAACTTACGATAAGCTACCATAAGAAACACTGTCAACATCCATTCATTTTTACTCTCATAAAGATGTTTGTACCTAACTATTAAAATAATTCAGCAACCTCTATTGTTCATTACAAACTGCTTTAGAAAGGCTGCTAAAAACACTGGGTTTTAGATGAAGTTAAAGCGTAAAAAGCTGTATAAAATTCAAGTTAAAAGGAAATAAAACCAAAGTAAAATCAGGAAGGGCTCTTAGAAAAAAGTAGCTTTTGTTTTTGAAAAGGGTCTCATAACAATTAACTCAATCACGGTGCCCTTAACTCAGTTATATTTTGTTGTAATAGTGTTAATTACAGTGTTGCACTGCGGCTCCGGCTCTTTAGAACTTCAAATCACTGGTGAGTTTGTAACGTCTCCTCCTTTGGGATGCACCGCCCCCCTCTGGCGGAAAGAAGGAACGACCCGTTCGCCTGGGTTCGCTTGGTGTACGGTCACCATGACAACCACAGCAAGCGCAGGGCATCGCGAACACTTACTGATGGTTTACTCTCTTCAAACCAACTTGATTGAAAAGCTCGTACGATTATTTTGTTCGAGTTGTGAGTCTGAGGGGTTTCCTACAACAAAATGGACTCTTCTGTGATTCTACCCGTTGAAGCAGAGGGGTTTATTCAGAGTTTGGAAACTTTCCCTCTCAAGGAAGTCGGCTCTGAGAGGTAAGAGGAGCTAACGTTAGCTAATTTACGCTTAAGCTAGCTATGCTAGCATGTAGCTCTAGTTGAAAACTACTTAAAAGCACTGCAGCAGTAGCTTAGACAAAGGCAATTAAATCCCACAATGATGGATGGGCTGTCTGCAGTTCATCACACGTCCATGTCAAGTCAGAACAAACATTAAGCAATTGAAATTAGGTAATGTATTTCATATGTTGTTTTCAGCGACAACACTTAAAAAGCATTGGGGACATGTTCTGCTTGTATTGCAGACATGTGTTTATTTCATTGACCATGTATGTGTCTACGAATTGCACAGAAACTGAAAAATGCTTCCCCAAGTTTAATAAGCAGACCCGTCACACGTGACTGCAGAAGTCCTTACAGTTTATAAAAATACAGCTGTTCATCAAGTCTAACTGTTCCTTTTTTTAAAATCCCTTTTCTCTTTGACTGTTGACAGGTGGTTCAGACAGCACACGCACATCGAGAAACTTAACATGCAGGCCATACTGAATGCTTCTGCCATGCACGATGAGTTTGTCAAGGACCTCCTGGTGTTGTATGGGAAGGTGAATGCAGCCCTTTGTGGTGTTAAAATCTCAATGAATTGAAGCTCCGCAAAAATCGAAGAAGAAGTCTCTTGAAACGCGTTTTCTGGTTGCTTCTTAGAATAACCTATAACATATCACTGCACACTGCTTCAAAACAGAACATTCATCTTTCCCCCTTTCTAGATACCTATTCTGGTGCATGAAATGATCCTTGTCGAAGTGTGAAAGCACAAAGTATTCCCCATTTTGTGTCAGCTGGAGGACTTCAACCCCAAGAACACGTTTCATCTCTACATGGTGGTGAGTTTCAAACGAGATGTCAAATGATCATTGGCTTGCACGGCTCATAACTCATTTTGCGTGTTTAATGTATCTGTCTTAGATCCACCATGAAGCCACGATCATAAACCTGCTTGAAACGATAATGTATCACAAGGTCAGTGTGCAGCATTGATCCGCATCTTGTTTTTAAAATCTCTCTCTCTCTCTCTCTCTCTCTCTACACCAATTAATTCTGTGATGAATTAAGCTTCATGTGATATGTGGAAGATGCTTTGTGTTGGTTGAGCAGGATTCGTGTGAGGCAGCTGATGACTCCGTTCTGGACTTGGTGGATTACTGCCACCGCAAACTCGCCCTGCTGGTCGGCAAAGCAGCTCCCGACCAACAGGAGCCGGAAGGGAAGGCGGACGCATCCCTGACCGACTCCATGAAAGATGTACAGGTGCAGAGCGCCGCAGAGGAATTTGAAATCGCCCTGAAGGCCGTCTCTGTGCTGCGCTTCATCACCGATCACACCGAGAGGTACGGTTCAGGGATAACAAGTTTACGACAGAGATTCTGAGATATTGAGTTTACACTTCAGCCGTAACATTCAGTCACTTCATCATTCTACAGGTTTAGTAATCATTTTGTTTATAAAACAAGATAGAGATATAGACATACAAAAGGATATGTACGGTGCAATTTCGCAGAATAAATGATAACTTATTTAACTTTACAATAAAATGAAATAGAAAAAGACGAACAGGATTTATCTCTCTGGTGGTGATTACCTCATTTGTTAATGTACCGTTCCTTCAAGCTGACGGACATTTGTATTCTTCACAGCGTTAGTGTCATCAACCGCATGCTGTGCACCCATAACATGCCTTGCGTGCTGGTTCAGTTGATTGGCCGCTGTCCTTGGAGTCGCTGTAAAGACGGTAAATCATATCTCTACTTCCGTATCAAACGTGTCCTCGCAAGAGTGTGTGATTCATGGCCGACTGGTGACCCTCCATCCAACGGCGCTCTGTCTCCCACTGAAGGTGAGGTGGAAAAGTACGTGAATGGCAGATGGCAGAGGATTCCTGTCGAGGACCATTTAAAGATGACAAAACTCGACGGTCAGGTCTGGATTTCCCTTTACAATCTGCTGCTGAAGGAAGACTGCCAAAGGAAATATGACTTCAACAATTTCAACAAGAACCAGCTTCTGAAGGTATACTGTGGCTGACTCTTTGCATCTGACAGCTATTTTAATCATTCCTTTATGTTCTCGAGTCATTTTAGTTCATCATGCCTCCTAAATCTAAGTGGAAACAGTAATTATATGAAGTGTAAACTGAAGCTTAGCAAGTGTGTGAGCGCCAGGTCTTTGTCCTCCAACATCATATCTGGTCTCCTTGTCTATTTTAACCCAGATTCAGTTTCCAAGGGTTGTTTTGACTAAGACGTTTCCTCCTATTATACGCTTTCTCATCCTCTTCCTGCTCCATTGATTATATAACCAGGGAGCCTTGTGCATCCTCTCTTAATGGCATTTCTTTGCTTGTGCCGCCTGCATAAGTCATTGTAGAAAGTTTTGATTGTTTGGGGGCTTATTCATCGTTCACGTTGCACAGCTTCGAGGTTTCATGACCGAGGTGTTGATTGATCAGCTGCCGAACCTGGCGGAGCTGCAGGTTTTCCTGGCTCATCTCACCGTTACAGACCCCGCCCCTCCAAAGAAAGAACTCATTTTGGAACAGGTACACACTCCCACATGTTGCTGTGCGCAGACAGTGACTGTAGGTCATTCGTGCCTTCACCCTCAGCTTTGCTTTTTGCGTAGATCCCGGAAATACGGGACCACATTGTGAGACAGAATTCCGGGAAGTGGAAGGCGATCGCAAAGTACCAAGTCAAAGAAACCTTCAGCCCATCCGAAAGTGACCTGAAGCTGCAGGCGGAGAGGTGCTGCTGAAAACACAAGAAAGAAGAAAAATGAACCCCCAGTAGATCTGTGATTACTGTGGCCTCCGTTTCACCAGGTTGAACCAGCTGTACAATTTGGACGTGATGGAGAGTTTACTCCCTGAGAAGCCAAAGTGTGGATCTTGTGGGAAAGAAGCAGCAAAGCGATGCTCTCGGTGCCAGGGAGAATGGTACTGTGACAGGTAAGACAGTCAGTAATGAGGACCTGCTGACACAGTAACCCTCAGTAGAATGGAGGGATGGCTACAATAAAGATATAGATCTGATCTATGAATATTACATTTTAGTTGTTGTTATACACGTAACGTGCGTTAGCCGTCTCGTTCACAGTTTTATTGTTTTCACAGAGAATGTCAGGTGAAGCACTGGTCTAAACACAAGAGCGCCTGTCAGATGATGGTCGAGGTCTCAGAGAAGATCCAGAAGGACCTGCACGTCAACAGTTAACCAGGACAGGCTGGTGATGCACACGAAAGGACTGGTGCTGGATAGGAGACACGGACGTGATATGTGCACAATCCAAACAAGCATTCCTATACATTTGGATTTTTTTTTTTCTTCTCTTAATGAGGTCAAGTTTCTGCCCAGTAAGAGATCGTTGACGTGCCTTTTTTGTCTTAAATACTGTTATTGTGTTGATCACTTTATTGACGGTGAATTTCAACTTTGTTTGTTTGTTACTCGACACAGTGGAGCAGAATGTCTCTTCCTTACACACCAGCAACAAATAAAACCCTCGACGTTGTCTTCTCACAACAGATAGAGTGACATATTAATAGTTTCACCTTGTATAAGTGAATTAGTAGCTCCTCTTCATAGAGCATCCTTTTGTACGTTCCGTCTTATAAACTCCTGCTTGTTTGGATCGCTCTTCTTTCTTTACTCTTTATCTTTTATTCTTTATTCTATATTCGGCTGAATAAATACTCTGTCCAGCAGGCCACGTGTTGGGGATTTTCACTGCTGTAAATGAATTCCAGTTCCTTCACAGATACAGTGGTGGTTTGAGGAGGAGGGGGGGAGGCCTCCTGCACGCCCATTCAGCTGAGCTCTAACTAGATTTCATAACCCCCCCCCCCCCCCTCCCCCATCCTCCCCCCGCCATATGTGAAAACATCCCGGATGTCGGCGCAGCTCGCGATCATCTCTTGTTTTTCTGATAAACCGCCTCCTCCTGTGAGCGGGGGGGGCGAGAGGTGCTTCTCTTCTGGGGACGTCGAGGCTCCGGTGAAGTAACGGAGAGACGAGTCGGTGATGAGAAATCCTCTCCAGGGATGTAGCGGCTGCTGCACACACGCACGCACACACGCACACACGGACACGCGCGCGCCTCCGTTACTTGGAAACCGTCGGTTCGCCGCGGAAACTTTTTCTCTTCGGATGGAAGAAGTTCTGAGACAAAGCGGTGCTCGCGGGGCTGTTTTCGTCTCCACCGAGTTGGTGAGTGAGATTTACTTTGAGAAAGTTGTTGTTTTGGGCGCTAAACTATTTGTATTGTTTCCATTGACTGTCACAGAGCAGTCAGATACTTTAACACGTTGAAGTTGTTACTTCAGGCTTTCAGACCCGGTTTTACTTTATGACAGAATAACCATCGTGTCATCTGTAAAGATAGTGCACTACCACACGCCAAATAATATGTCAATTACATGTTAAACAAAGGCTTCTTATGCAACTAAATACATTCAGGCTGACAATGTTACTTATCTCCATACAGACTATATACTGTGTAAGAAAGTATAGTATTGTGATCCATGAGTACCTTTCCTTTACCCTTTACTGTAAAAGGGTTAATGCCGATTTTGTCATTGTAATTCTGAATTGTGGTATTGCTACATTTACTCACATTTATCAGGTACCGGATCAGAACACTTCTGCTTTTTCCATTTGTTATTTAATCTCGATCGGTTACTTGTTTATATCTAGTCTTCTGTTCGAGACGTGAGTTTTAGTGCAATAAAGCAGGCGTTAGATCTTCACCTGAGCTAAATTGTGATCATTTCAGGTTCACACTGTGTGAAGCGTTAAACTGTTGCCATGTGGCGTCATTGTGTGTGTGTGTCTGTCAGTGATGCTGGAGGCAGCCGGGCTCTGAGCCACGCGATGTCTTGGGGGGAGTTCATCGAGCTCCGTGACCTGAGGCCGGACGGGGAGCAGATGGAGCGGACGCACTGCCCACACTCGCCCTGCTCGCCGCCGCGCCTGGAGAGAGCCAACGCCCTGAGGATCAGCCCGGGGAAGGTGCCGGACCTGCTGAGCCGGGTGGGCATCATCCGGGTCCTGAGCAGCACCCAGGACCCCCACCTCCCCGAGGAGAAGGGAGAGGGACACAACTTCCAGCCCTGCAGCAACGCTCAGCCCACCTGGTGCGACCTGTGTGGAGACTTCATCTGGGGCCTGTACAAGCAGAGCCTGCGCTGTGCCAGTGAGTAGGCCTGTGTGTGTGTGTGTGTGTGATCACTTCTGTGCATAGAGAGGAGCGGGATATTTGACAAGCGGGACCGAGAGAAAACCGGGAAAGTTGTAGCCACCAATTGTAGGGGCAGGCCCACGTCACCCTGAGCTCTTTCTCATTCTTCAAACACGAGGACGTCTTAGTGTTCGTCTGCTCAGTTCATGCAAAACCTTTTCTCTGGGTCGGTGATGGTTTGTGGAGTCTCTAACGTGCGTGCGTCAGTCAGGTGGTTTTGGTGGTGAGATGTCTGCTCTCAGTGTACGCTACAGACCTGTATGGTCTTCTTGTAATGCTTTTAAAATGTATCTTCACCTCTCTTTTAATCAACTAAAGGCCACTGAAATGCATCTGTGGTTCATGTAAAGCATTTAGTGGACAGTGGAACTGTTGTGTAAATATACAATTGCAGCTAAATCAAAAAGAAACATTGACATGATGTTTTACGCTAATCAGAGTAACGGCCTTCAACCGTGACCTATTTTCTCATAATAACCTCATGACAAATATAAAAGGCAAAGAAAGAAACAAAACATTAACATTTTACACATGGGATTGCATGCCATTAATATAAATATATAAATATATCAAGTCTTAGCTCAAATGTGATATAAATTTACAAGACTTGATCTGAGTATTACATAATCTAGCTCTAGTTATTTCCCAACTTCACTCAACAGATGCAGGTTTGCTAAAGTTTCTTTCAAGAATACTGATTTATACTTTATAGTCAGTGGCCACTTAATCCTGGACTCCTGCATAATCTAGTTGATTCCAATGCATTTTTTTCCAAAATAAGGTCTACTTTTACGATGTCCCTAATGTTAAGTTCTCTGTGACATTTTCAGTAATCTGTTTAATTATATATCTTTATTATTGAGTTCAGATTATATGGGGAGGGGGTGAACCGAGCTACATTATATTTAGTGTGTTTCTAATTTACTGTATACAAATCTAAAGGCAATGAAATACCCTTCTCACTTACTCATGTCCAACCATGCCAACATAAATGCAGGGGAAGTGACCAGAGGAGTCCATCTCTGATTGAGAACTGTACATTATTACCCCGTGTTTGGGTGCGTTTGCCGTGAACCGGTGACTTTCTACACTTGCAGATTGTAGATTCACGTGCCACTACCGCTGCCGCGCTCTGATCCAGTTGGACTGCCGCTGGGACCGAGGCTCCGTGGCTGACCACACGTTGGTGGTGGAGCACACCATAGAAACTGACACCAATGTGGTAAGGACCTTTTGTATTTTACTTAACGTGACTTTGTATTTGCCGTCGTGTTCTCTGGTAGTCCATAAACAGCACCAATTCACCACTGTGGTCACCATTAGAAACGAGACAATCCCTGAAGAAACTTCTAGCTGCTTGTATTTTACATGTTACATCACGTGCTGCCTGGTTTATAAGGAACAAAATAAAATGTTCAACGGTCTAAACGAGGAAACATTTTGCATGCTTTAATCCAGTTCCACCTACTGCAAACTGGGGAAGTTTGTTATTGTTGAGAAACACCGAACGTTGCAGGTTACAGCTTCCAGGCACCAATGAGCATCAGTTTATTGAACCACAGCGAAACATCTGTTTTCAAAGTCCAAGCTGTATTTGAGAAAACAACCTCACAACATGACTTCCTCTGCATTATGTACCGTCAAATGTTCTTTCCTTGATTGTAGAGTTCCATCTTTTAGTCCTGCCTTGGCTTTGTTTTTTAAAGGAGCATAACAAATGTATAACAATGAATTACAATGATAATTTATTAATTGTAATATACCCCGTGTAGATAAACAGAGTCCTGACGGCTCTACATCTTAAATCGCACAAGCAGACTCCTCACTGTGCTTGTGCTGTACCAAACTGTTATTCACAGGGGAGTCAAGGCTACAAACGCATAGTCGTTCAAGGCAGCTGGGTTTGGTTTCTTGGTAACAGGTTTTATTCCCTCCCTGTGCAACACGTGTTGCTTATCAAAGGACGACTGGAATGTAAAAACCTCAGCAGAGTATGAACGGTGTGGAGACACGGCGAGGTCTCTATCAGAACAGACGTGTTCATCAGAAGTACAGGTGCCACTATGCAAAGTACCAGAAACATTCATTAATGTGATGAAATGACACCCGTGTTTGCCTGAAAACACCTGAAACATCTGCAATGAAAAGCACAGAATCCGAGTTGGTTCAGTCAGAGTTTATTGTGAGGGTGTGAAGACTTCTTAGCGGTCCACAAATGTAAACTTGTGACTTCACGCTAGGCGGCTCCAAAGTATTTCCTGCCAGTGCGAATTAGCCGGTCGCTGTGCTGATAGCCAGAGCGATATGACCAACTCCTCAGCCTGTGAGAAACACACTGGGGACAGTTGGCAAACGTCTCCCCGGACACGTGGGTTTTTTTATGATTTGAACCAATAAAAAAAGGTTAAACTGTTAGCGGATTGTTAATGAACAATGGAATAAAAACCATAGCTTTAAATGCAGAAGACAATTAAGCAACTGATACCTACTACCCTATAATAACTGTTTGTTACTAGTCTCTCACTACAAGGCTAATACTCATGTTTTGACATGTTTTAGTATTAGTCTACCTGTTTGTTGAGAAAGTGTTCCGATTGCACCATTATTAATTCTAGATGATTCATTGGGGTGTTATTTAAGCGGAAATTTGCACTTTACGCACACTGATTCAGATGTGACCCTGAAACGCCACAATTATGAAATGCAAAAATGTGTTTTCTAAAACCTGCACATGTCATTCAGTGGGACTCATTGGCACATTTTTTATTCACATAATTACAGTTATTTATCGATACCAATCTGGCAGATTGATAGTTATCTATCAATTCATCTGCAGAGCACTTTCTGTATTATTTCCCAATATCTTTTTCTGTTTAATTGTTTTGTCCATAATATGGCTTTTTTCATGGCTTCATTTATAAAAATAAAAAAACGGATGTATTTAGTTTTTAGTTTCTTCTCTGTCCACACAGGGCAAATCTCACGTATCCGAGCACTCAGAAAAATCGGTTTACTAGTCCTTATTAAAAGTTGGAAGCTGAACAAGTCCAAAGTAATGTTACAATAACTGTACTCCCAGATGAAGGCGGGAGAATGGAGGATCCTAATGAGATGCATTGTGGGAATTGTAGGATCTAGTAAGCGCCACTAAGCGCTGCTTAGGTAGTATTTTATTTTGTATCTTCCACTTCCTTGAGTTCCCTAATTGCATAGGAATGCATTATTGATTGAATTTATTTATTGATTGAGTATTCAATACATAGAAACACGTCAAAAATGAACACATTTGCACATTGTTGCATTGAGGAAGTGGGGGAGGGGAGGGGGAGTTGTGGTAATCCCCTCTATTTCCCCTGAGAGACGACATGGTTTTCACTCAAGCTTTTGAAACTAAATAAGGAAGAAATGTCACCTGACTTGTTACGTCTAAGTTCTAGTTTCAATGCTGTGTGCCTAAAAAGTTCAACTTATCAACACCAAAGCTCACATGCTGACCCCAGACTGTGGGACCACGCTGACCTCTCATCACATGATGAACCCGGCGGGGGGAAATCAGCCCCCCGAGGGGACGAGGGGGGTGGGGTGGGGTGGGGGTCCTTGGCATTTCCCCTTGCCGTCCAATCGCTCGGCTCTGATGGGGCTTGTGTATTTTTCCAAACTCTCAGGCTCAACGGACTTGGGTGGGGCCTCGGCGAAGGGAAGGAAGCGAGGACGGGCGGGGGGCACGAACACATCCTGTTTCACACCCTCCGGAGACCGACCAGTTTGAAACGTGGCCCAGCCGAAGTAAAGAGGAAGAAGAAGAGTCGCGTTTAGTCCAATAGCCCGTTGTTACCCAGGCGTCACTTTTCACCAGTTTAGCTGTCGTCATTTAAAAAAAAAGAAATCCCAGTCGGAGTTCGGTTTTTTCGCAGCTCACAGCTTTGGTTTTGCTTGTTTTTAGCCGTCGCGTCTCTTATTAAGTTCCCCGTCGTCGTCACCCCCTTCCCCCCGGTACTCAGCATGACACACGCGGCCGGCGGCTCGGAGAAGTCCGCGTCCTTCGAGAGGACCTGGGGAAGCTCCGCCAGCAGCGGCTACTGCAGCGACGAGGAGTCCGACTCCGAGTTCGAGCAGTACTTCACGGCCCGGACGTCGTTCTTCCCCAAAACCCGCGCGGACGCCGGTAACGTCGGTGCGCGCGTGAAGCAGGTGAGCAGGCAAACGAAGTTGACTTAAATAAAACAAAAAACAAAAAAGAAGTAACTTTGTAGGGTTTGAATGAAGGAGAGTGCAGATTTGGGGGTGACGTGTTGTTTCGGTAGAAGTGACGTTTCTCTCGGGGGTTTGTGCTCTCTTCGACAATTCTGCTTAAATTAAGTATTTTAACCACAAATTTAGGAGTCGGAGAAATTGGGTGTTGCTCAAGGACGCAAGGGTGGGGTTCTGGTTCCTCCAGTTTTTTTTTTTTGAAGAGCGACTTGTGTAATTCGATTGAGAACATATTCTAAACTGCATGCAATCGTTTTTAATGGTAATAAGTAAAGACCCGCAGCTGATCAACCCAAATGTCACGTTGTGTGACGCACACCGGCTTCTCAATTTTCCACCCTGACGCCCAAATGACAATTCAGGTTTCTCATACTTATTTCTCCATTCGCAGATGATTCATCTGTTGTTTTGGGTTCGGTTTATTCCGTTCCTTTTAGTCACCCACTAAAGTATCGGCTCTCTTTATTGTAAAACTCTGTGAACTTCACCTTCTTCCGTTTCTCTGCACAGAGGCCATTTTTGATTCCTGCTGTTGGGCGTTTCGACTCTTGCGTTTTTGATATGACACTTGCGGCAATGCAGAAGTTGCATATGTGTTTCCTTCTCTCACCATATGGGGAAGCTTAAAATGGCTAGTTTATTTGTTTGTTAACAGCAGCAAATTAGTCTGTGTAAAGATCACCACTATTGATCTTGTTCTGCTTGACTTCGTTTGCTTTATAAGTTACCCGGTCCATTTAGAGCTTGCATCATTGGCAAGGTAGTGTTGGTGCAGAAATGCTGGTTTGTAATAATGGAGAAATCTGCATACAGATCAATGCAGCCTACTACTGGGTATTGATTTTACTCCTCGGGAACCCCCCCCCCCTGCCCCTCTAGGAATTAGCTGGATCACAGCATGGAGAATACATTTCTGCTCTCCCTGCGTTCCGTTGCATTTTCTTTCCATACAAGAAATACCATTTATCCGCTTCATTCAGGAAAGGCACTAATTGAGCTTATGGTCATGCAGAACGATTAAAATGTGCATGACTGAGACGTGACTGAGATGGTGCGGTTGATGAGGCAGCTGACTCCACAGGATGCGTCTGTAAAACAAGGGAGGGCTTTGTGCCTCTCCCTTGTGAAAGCCGGAGAGGGGAGGCTATTTTTAAATGAATACCACGTCGAAGAATGCAGTCCAGAAACCGCTTATCGCACTCATCACAAACAGCTGCACGGTACACACACCCCTCCTCCCTCTGACCCACGTAGGCCGGAGGAATCGGACAAGTCAAACCAGATTGGGCAGCGCTGACATCATCGTTTGTGCCTTTGCCGCGTTGTCCGGAAGTTGAGCCTGATGCAACCGGTGTTCACTGTGAGAAATAACGGTTGCCTAACAGGAAGTCGACTAACAACACTTTTACGACTTTCGTCGACATAATAGCTTCACATCTTCCTCCAACCTACTCGGCTCCTAAAAACGTATTTTGAGACCCCATAAAAGTCTTGTCTTTCATGGCTTTTTTTAAAATGCACTGGAAAACTCAAAGGTGTCCATACATGTGGTGGTTTGTCGCGTGTTGGTTTGGAGAGGAGCCCTGCCACCTAGTGTCTTAACCCTGTAACTCCTCACTGTCTCCGCCAGGATGAACAAACCGCATGGGGAAAGCAGGAACTGACGACTGCAGATATTCAGCAGAAGGTGAAGGAATACAACGCTCAGATCAACAGCAATCTGTTCATGAACATGGTGAGCGGTGACGATTCACAACAAATGCATCCATGTCAAAGAGGCAGTGTCTTTCATTCAGCGTAACAAATGTCTTTCGCTCGACAGAACAAGGATGGTTCCTTCACTGGCTTTATAAAGGTGCAGTTCAAGTTGGCCCGTCCTGTGTCAGTTCCACCTCCAAAGAAAGGAGGTCAGGATGCTGGAGGGAGGAAGGCTGCCGGAGTGAAGCGCCGCACCTCTTTCTACCTGCCAAAGGACGCATCCAAGCACCTGCACATCAGCTCACGCACTTCTGCCCGGGAGGTCATCGAGGTTTTGTTGAAAAAGTTCACTGTGGTGGACAACCCTGGCAAGTTTGCCCTGTTCGAGCGCAGTGAGCGCCATGACCAAGGTATTGCTCGGCTTCGTTATGTTTCCAGACTGACCTCCTGCGCTGTTTCTGAATCGCTTAACCGTCAACTTGAGTTCATTTATCTGCTCTTTCAGTTTACGTTCGCAAGGTGTCCGACAATGAGAGTCCCCTCCGTCTGCGCCTGTGCACCGGGCCCAACGAGAAGGTCCTCAGCTTCGTTCTGAAAGAGAATGAAACTGGAGAAGTTAATGTGAGTGTAACATTATATAAGATTATTTAGAATAAGGGCCAAACCATGTGGTACGTTTTTTATAAAGTGTACTAATTGCATTAAAAAAAAAAAAAATCTCCTTCCAGTGGCATGCCTTCTCCATGCCTGAGCTGAAGAACTTCCTGCGCATCCTGCAGCGCGAAGAGGAGGAGCACGTCAAGCAGATCGTGCAGCGGTACGCTCAGGCGCGCACTAAGATGCGGGAGGCTGTGGCTGGCTCGACCCCCGGCTGAGGCGACTCTGCGTTGGGAGGGGTTTTGCGTGCACCGCTTTGCCTGGACAAACCAGTCATCGCTGCATCCGAAGATCCCGGCTAACACAACTCTAAAACGCCTCTTGGGTGAACGAGAGAGTGAGACAGGGCGCAAGACAGTGAGAGAGCGAGAGAGAGCTAGCGCGAATGTGCGTGTGAAATGATGCGAGAGATGCGACGTGCCTTACACCTGGAGAGTCTGATGTGCCTGAGAGAATTGAGTTGAGAGAAGCGACACTGGCAGATGAGGCCGTGACTGTATACAGTAGTGTCTGATAATCCTGTGTACCTCAGCGGTGTCACTTTAACTTAGAAGAAAATGGCAGGCATGGTTTTTTAGCATTTTTTGGGGGGTTGAGAAATCGTATTGATATACATTGCTAAAGCCGAGCCTCATTATTTGATCTGATAATTAATCTGGAAATTGCATTCCTTTTTTCTTTTTCTTTTTTTACCCAGTTTACAAAATTGGTAACCTGTCCAATCATGACATTCCTGCTAAGGTCATTTAACTTAATCTAGTCCTTAAACAACCTACCACAGATACTAATAAACTTTTATATGGCCATTTCTTCTCTTTTTCTTGGAAAGTTAAATACACATTTGGTGCTGAAGAGTATTTTGGGTTTTCATTTGACCCGGCCTCAAAAATCTGCCAGTTCCTCTCCACACCCCCGATGGGTGCAACTCTTTTTTTATTATTTTACTGTCAAATTGTGAATTTGACTGATGTATGGACATTTGTATGCTACTATGAATGTCGGAGAGAAGTGTCACTCTGGTTGACTGGAACCTTGAATGAATATTGGTATACATGTGTTTTTCACAAAAAGCTGTTTGTCATTCCTTCATATCTTTGTTTTCTTCTGTTCTTTTAAGAAACGTTTGTCTGTAGTTTTTCAGTTTACTTTCAGTCTATGCGCATATTTCCGTGTTGAAGCCACAATTCCAAATGTGACAAATGTGCACTTTGTTCAGTAAAAAATTTACCAGTTCACATAAGTTTCTGTATTTTCTGAATATCTAAATAAAATACCCTACTTTTTGTTAAACGACCCCCCAAATTGATTGATATTCAGATGAACCGACGTGATTTCCTTAATTGTCTACGTACCGCCTGTTCGCCCGATCAGCTGATCGTCCTCGAGAAGACCAAAACAGCTAAAGCTAGCTTAACGTAGCCGGGGGTAACAGCTATGAAAGGACATGGCGATTTAATACTGTATCATAAGGTAGGATATTGTCGGGAACTTAACGTATCGTGTTTGGCGGTCTTGGGCAAACATTATCTTGTGTTTTGTTTGGGAAGCGCGTCGATGTCTGGACCGGCTGCATAACGCTTGACGTTAGCTACTGTGGCTAACCTGCGTCAGTGGCAGAAGCTAATCGGCTAACTACAACGTTAACATATGCAGGTGCCGTTAGCTACAGCTAGCTACGTGTTATTAGCCGCATTATAGGCGCAACACGAACAGGGTGCTTTATGTGATGTGTCCTGTGGACCCCGCATACAATAACGGTTGTTTTAATACCTCAGCGTGGTAATGTAACGCTAAAGATCAGATTCGGTAGTCAAAAGTGCGTTAGCTTCACGTGAAGCTAGCACGACGTAAAGGTTACAATACGACGTCAGCTTCGACATCGTCTTCAATCAACTGATATTTCTGATATTATTTTAAGTTGTAAACGGCATGCTTTTATTCCGTTGAATCACGTTTTGACCCTTCGTGTGTCACATTGATACCAGCCATTTATCGTTATATATTAACGCTAGTATTTCATCCACCTAGTCGGAAGTCATTGCTAACCAAACAGTGTTTTGCAAAAGGCAGCGGAGGCCCAAAAGTAGCCACACAACTACTTGAACAACAGGCAGAGAAAGTCAAGTCTGATGTCTGTTTTCTTTCCTCTTTTGGGCACTTTTTAAAATTCTCAGATCCTGATAAGGAATTGAGTGTCTGGCCACCAACCAGATCGGAAGCTTCCAGTGCAGACAAACTATGTCTTATCTCTGAGAATGGGAGGAAGTGGATCCAAAGCCAAAGGCGTCTGGCCTTTCTCAGGCAATGGAAGTGGAGGGGATTCAGCCGGTGATGGGAACGAGCAGTCTGTGGCCCGCCTCAAAGCTTCCAGGAAAGCCACGCCGTTCGTTTTTACCAGGAGGAGGTAAATAATATATGGAAAATTGTATAACTTATATTTTACACCGATATCTGGAAGAATAAAGGAGAGATGGGATTGAGATGGAACCAGGAACTCTATGGATCCATGGATTTCACCTTCCCTCTACTTCACCAGGGTGCCTCAAATATAAGCCGTCCCATTGAATAGCTGTCTACAGTGAGATGTGGATGATACCAGGCTCCAGTCAGAGGCTGATCTGTTAAATTAATAAACTCGATTCGTCCTCAGCAATGCAATTAAAGGCAGTCTATAGCAGAGCAAACATGCAACTAACATTTAAATAGTTAAAATACAAATTATGCAGCTAGGAAAGTTACAAACGCAACATAGTGTTTTTTGTGTGTTTGGGTAAACTGAGCATATCATGTTCCCTTAAATCTAATCTGAGGCAAGTTGATGTTGACCTGCTGTATTTGCAGTTCCCTGTACTATGACGAGGATGGCGACCTCGCCCATGAGTTCTACGAAGAGACCGTGGTGACAAAAAACGGAAGAAAAAAGTCCAAATTGAAGAGGATTCATAAAAATCTGATTCCACAGGTGAGCCAAGGCCACGTTTTTTGCAAATGCTGATTAAAGTGACAGAAGTCATGAATTATTTGTTGATTTGAATATTCGTGTACTTCTTAGGGAACTGTGAAGCTGGACCACCCCTGTATACATGTAGATTTCCCCGTCGTCCTCTGTGAGGTGTGAAAAGTTGCACTAGACTGAAGTGCAGCAGCTGCTTCTCCTCCCGGAGCAAAGTTTTGTCCCAGTATCAAAGCAGCAAAGTCGAGGATGGAGCCGAGGTCTGGAGAGCAAAATGAAAACCCAAACTGGTGTATGAAACTGATGTACTGAATGAAATGTTATACATTTGAATTCAACTACGGTCAGAGGGTTCCCTGTTCCCCCAAATTCCTATTTTGATATTCAGGGAAGCCGTGTTGGTGCAGGTTGTGTATCCACTACCCAGCTGATATGTAAGCAGTGGAGAATTCATGAAATTTCTCTTGTGAGTTTTTTTTGCAGGGAAAAAACATCCATTGATGGGGAAAAAGGCTTTAACAATTTATGCCTTCTGTGAGATGTTAAGTGAAACTGTTTGTGTCTTTGTATGCGTACATGTGTGCACTTAGATTTGTTTGAGTGAGTGTGTGTGGGGAAACCGGGACAGAAGATATAGTTACAGGTTAGAATACATATAGGTTTGTGAAATTTATTATATATATATATATATGGTCATGTTCATGTTCTGTATTGTCACGTCTGAGTCTTTCTCAGTAACCGGAGCTCAGACCTGCACTAGTGAACATAATGTACTGTAAATAATATCAGATATCTTAGTTGGAAATACTTGAATAAATGGTTTACTGAGTTGTTGATCTGGACTCAATACCTTTTCCATTATGTTGGTTATGGCCTCCTATTACCATGAGTTATATAACAAATAACAAAATATAAAATATTTGATATAAAAAGAAATTGTATTTCTTTTTTTAACACCATAGGAAAGGAAAGTATATTTCCTTCCTTGCCAATAAACATGTTTTGCAAAATGTAATAAGTACCAGTTGCCAACAGGACTAACTGCTGTTTTTGAATGACAACTGATTTTGTGCTCTGTGCAATAATTTTAGTCTTCTGTTTTAGTGAATGGACAAGTTGGAATTGCATTCTGTCCAGTGGTCACTTTTACAAAAATGTCGCCAGCAATTCCTTCTCTTCCATGACAGCTGTAATTATAACCCTGATACCTCTGGTCTTATTTTTTAGCTTTCCCTCATTGCCTTCTTGCATTCCCTTGCTGAGCTGCACGTACAGTTTAAAGCCAGATCTAGTTTACTTATACCCAGTTATTATGCAGAATCTGCAGAACTTACAATAGTTCCAATTCGACAGCATGTAAGGTATCCTACCTCTAGATGGCAGCAGAAATCTACACCCGCACTAACTCTAATGTAGCTCTCAAACACTGTGTGTACAGCAATCTTTTGCAGTAATACTGACCAAAAAGGTCGGTGATTTAATAAAAGTTTCTTGATGGACACGCTGAAAGACTCAAGTTGTGACACAATACACACTTTAACAGCAAGGTAAACACGTCCCGGCATAGCTGGTAGATCCCCGCGGTAGTCGGGTAGGGCTTCCTTTGCAGACATTCTCTTGTGTCTGTAATTGTTTGGAATGTGGTTGGTGGGTGTGTTTTGAGGTCAGGGGTCAGTCGCTTTGATGTGCTTCCTCTCCACTAGTCTAAACGTTGGCGAAACGTCCAGCTTGTAATATTACAATGAACCACTTTTACACAACGACATCCTTTACTTTTTCCAATGAATATGACACCGTAGCTCTGTTGATTCATATAATGTGTCCTCTGGTGTCCACAGGTTATTTTTATACAAGGAAAACATTGTCCATGGGACGGAGGTTAGGAGTCTTTAGAAATTATCAGCAGCCTTGAAAAAGAAGAAAAACATGCTTTGAATTATAAACAATAGAAACTATTTTGAATGATATCAATGATAGATTGTTTTCTCAGGGTTTTTATAACATGCTGTAGCTGTTCAAACTAAAACAGCAATGTATCCTCTTTTATCTCTATTTTGGATTATGTTACAGCGTGATCACACTCAATAAATGGGACTAACAAAATTGCTAAAAGAAAATAAATTAATATAAATAATGTATGGTAGCATCCGATATTTCTAATCCACATTTAATTCAGTACAATGAGGTAGTAAAATTATATTTACACCAAAAACAAGAACTTCCTTGCATCCCGGTCCACCAATTCACATGATTACCCAAATGTATGGCAACGCATGCGTTTGGGACACAAAGTGAAGGTGGCTGTCGTGCCTTCAGTTCCCCTGCCATTGTGTTCAGCTTCCTAAAGGTCTCAGAGTTCTGCTGATGCGACTTTCAGGAGGCAGAGGTCGACGGCAAACTGAGAATACGGGAAAACCGAGCCGTCCCCTTTTGTTCCGTCCCCTCCCCTCTTCATTCACATGAGCTGTTCATGCTCTACACTTTCCTTAAACACGCAGAGAGGGTAACTGGTGACATGGTGGGGTGAGTCAGCAAAGCTCGGAAAACAAACAGCGGAACGGGCAGTGACACAGGAAAAGATCTCACTTCCAGGCCTTGAGCTCACCGCGCAATCATGCGCTCAGGGATCCGTCTGCTCGAGAGTATCAGCAAAGAATGAGTCTCATTCTGAGAGCAACGCCGTTCTTCGAGGCGTCGCCGACAGAAACGCTTCTTGCAATCCTTCCAATTGTCTCAAAGTTTAGAGCTGCTGCTTATATTTTGGTTAATGATGTGCATTAATCCTGTTATGTCTTCTCCCAAGGTCAGCTGCTGTACTTGGCAACAGGACGGCATGTGGCACTTGGTCACTTCAGTGAGCCTTTGCCAGTAGCTGTCATCGCAGGCCTCGTGGAGCGGCAACATCTGCATACCAGATGCATCGTGCCCACTCTCTGAAGTGTGTTTAGAGAGTTCAAAACATTAAAATGACTCCACTTCAGTGGCAAGACAATACGTTAGAGAAGCGTGTTAAGTAAGAGAAGCTGTTTTTAAAAATGTTGCTCGCTAAAAAAATGACCCGTAATGAACAAATATCTCACAAACTATATACTGTACACCGTACAGTGATGACATATACATCAGCATATATCAACACTTGACAGTGTGAGATATTCTACAATATTCCACGGTCCATGAAAATAATATACTACACTACTGAAATACCTGAAAATAGTATATAATATTTTCATGTATTTCAGTATTGATGTTTATTCTACCAGAGCCGTATGACTCCACTACATTTACGAGTGTTTTGCATATATATACATTTAAGATAAAACCTACAGGAAATATATTGTTTCAGCTTAAATAACCAAACAGTATAAAAAAAAGTATCCCAGCAACACCCTTAAACATCGGTTTACATGTGAATACATCAACAAGTGCTGCTGCCTAATGATCACCGCCTTTTACAATTGATACCTCTGTGCTTTTTCTGTTTGAATGTCAGACTAATACTAGTGATGGGAGTGTGTGCGTGGTATTGCTACTTAAATTGTACTACTACTACTCCAACCTTAAGTAGAATATCTGAATACTTATTTAAGCCTGAGCCAGAGGGGGTTGGGGGGGGGTATAGTCTACTGCAAACAGGAACAAAAGGAAAGTAAATAGTGGAGTCAAAGGCTCATAGAATAGAAGTTCAGTAAATGAGAGACTTTGCAGCTTGTGATTCCTTAACTTCAACACTCTTTTTTAAAATGTGCATCATCAATTTTAGGACCAGGTCATGAGGTCTTGAAAACCATATTTTGAATCATCTGCTTAACGTTATATCATAAGCACGGGGATCCTACAGGAACACACACTTTTTACCAGACAGCTCTTCATACTTCCATACTTCACAATAAAATACACCTTTCTAAACGTTCACAGTATTCCATAAACCAAGTTACATCTGATTGTTACGTAGCTGCAATGTCACGGGAACACAGTGGTCATTCTTTGGCATGATCTTATTTTTGGGATGTCCCTGTGACCTTCTGCCAGTCTTCGCATTGAAGACTCACATTTGGCGTCGGTGACGAACGTCTTGGACAAATCTATTCCATCTATTCGCGCTGTGGCGAGATGAATAAAAACTGCACGGTTAAATGAACGCGTAGTTCCACGCGAGGTTTTGCGTGGAGTTCAGACCAAAAAAAGCGCGTCGCTGAAACACGCGAAACTCCAACGGAGTTTTTTTGGGGGGGGGCCGGGTGGTGGATGTCCGGTTTGTTTCCGCACCCCCCCCTTTTTCCCGAGCGGAATGGAACATCCTGAAAGCGGTCTGGCTCTCGGAGCAGCAGAGTTGCAACTGACAACATCGCAGGGGGGCAACTTCTCTTCTCTCCACTTCACTTCACCGGCGCACAGCGCAAGTTGTGCGACACGGAGCCACTACGTGGCCCTTTGTAAATACCCATCGTCGTCTTTTTCTTATTTAAAAGCAATGTGCATTTTGAATTTGTCCAATTTCGTTTGAGGGGGACACAGAAAAACGCGGCTTGAAGTGGCAGGCTGTTTTTTGGGGGGTTATGCTTCCTCAGTCTGCTAACAAAGGTAAGTTTTCTTTCTGCAGGACTCTGCACCTACAACTAGGTCAAGGATGCCTTTTTCTGTGTTTTTTTCTTTTTAGAATAAAGTTTAAAACTAGACAGATTTTTGTTTTGAATAGTTTTTTCAAAAATTTGTATTAAGCTTTTTGGATAATACATTTGACATAAATGTAAGGTTCTCTGCACAAATAACTAAGATGCTTTCAATAGATTAAAACAAAAAATATTTACAGCTTAAACCCTTAATTTGTGATTGAAACATTGCACTAACAACAGCACTAAATATAAATTATAAATACATTATTTGAGCCTTTTGAGTAGCTCACTTAATGACTAAATTCACTGTCTTTTGTCGAGACTTAATCTTCCTCTCCTCTGAAACTTGTAGAGCACAGAGCGAGAATCCTATTCGTCATTTCCCATCTGAAGACATGTTGTGCTGGACTCTGGCTCACTGGAAAGCGCTGCTGCTGACCGTGCTCCTGTGGGACCACCTCTGTGCTCTGGGACTGAAACCCACGAGATGGCCGCTGTATTCACAAAAGCCTCTGCTCCTCGCTTGGAATGCCCCGACCGAGGACTGTGGCCCGCGGCACGGTATTCGCTTTCAGCTGGACCTTTTCCAGATTGTGGCCTCTCCCAATGAGGGTTTTGTCAGGCAGAACCTCACCATCTTCTATAAGGACCGCTTAGGCTTGTACCCCTACATTGAACCAGATGGAACGACGATCAACGGGGGGCTGCCGCAGATGGCCAGTCTTACCAAACACCTGGATAAGATGCCGGAAGGTGTGCAGAAATACATAAGGGAATATGGGGCGAAGGGTCTGGCCGTCATCGACTGGGAGGAGTGGCGCCCGCTCTGGGTACGTAACTGGGAGACCAAAGACGTGTACCGCAGTTATTCCCGCGAGTTTGTTCGTCAGAAGAACCCCACTTGGCCCCCGGAGCAGGTTGGAAAAGTGGCCCTGCAGGAGTTCGAGATGTCCGCCAGGAAGTTCATGCTGGAGACGCTGAGGTACGCCAAGAACCTGAGGCCCAACCAGCTGTGGGGTTTCTACCTGTTCCCCGACTGCTACAATCACGACTACGTGCGCACACTGGAGAACTACACGGGCCGCTGTCCCGACGTGGAGGTGTCCCGCAACGAGCAGCTGAAATGGCTGTGGATGGAGAGCACGGCCCTCTTCCCCTCCATCTACATGGCCGCGGCGCTGCGCTCCTCAGAGTCCGGCCGCCAGTTTGTCCGCAACCGAGTGAAGGAGGGGATGCGCCTGGCGTCGTTCGGCGACGGGTTGGCCCGTCCCGTCTTCGTGTACGCCCGGCCCACCTACACCAACTCCCTGGAACGGCTGACGGAGGTGACGCTCTGACTTTGGCAAACACATTTTTTGTTAATTTATTTGTCAGCCGCTGTGGCCGCTGTGCAGGTTCGGTCATGTATGATGGTGATTTATGATAACACTTAGGGAGCAGAGGTCACGGACTTTCTGCTTGAAGATCAGGGCTCCCCCGCGTGGAGCCGGAGCTCTGCTTTTCCTTATCACGCAGCCACAGTCCCTTCCTGTTCTGGGAGCCGGCGGACTGACACCCAAATACCTCTCATCTATGTTGAGCGTGCAGGAAGGGTGTTGGTCAAGTTGAAAAGCTCGCTTTAGGCCACTTCCTAATGGAAGAAGTTACACACGCACACAGTAGCTCATTCCCACCAGAGTCTCGACCCCGTCACGGTGATACTGAGTCTTTGACATGTACGAGGCTAAATGTTATGAGGGTTTAAAGTGCTGTATTGTCTTTGCAGACCGACCTCGTCTCCACCATCGGGGAGAGCGTGGCTTTGGGGGCAGCCGGGATCATCATGTGGGGAGACGCGGCTTACACAAGCAGCAGAGTGAGCATCCGCACGCTAATTATAAAGCAAACACGTTACTCCCTCAGACACTACTTACAGATTTGACCATAAGCATTATCATCTGGTAAGTTTAGACTCAGCTGCTCCTGCCAGTGATGTGTCAGCTGATACCTAACAATTATTCCTCAGGGCTCCAGTTCAGAGGAAGTGGCTTCCCTTGGATGTTTTCAGATTGCACAGGAGATGTGTTGGGTTCTTTTCAGTCATATTTAGGCTGCAAGGTGATCTTGCATTTGTTCAAACCGTAAACCGTTAGGCAAAATAATCTTTTGGTCGGCGGCATGAACGTGGTCCTTACGTAGCTGAAATAAGGAATCACATTAATGATGGGAAATGCATCCCTTCTAAATTATTTTTACTTTGTATGATGACAAACACATCTGTGATTCACCAGCTCAAAATAAAACCTCTGCATGCAGTACTTGCTGTGAGTGGACGTTCTCTTTTATATAAATATTTAATATTGGTGAATATATGTTAATATTTAATCTCTAACTATTTTTATCTTCAGCTGCTGTGTTTTGTCACCTTCGGATCAAAGCTGATTTGAAATACATTTTCAAATCTTATTTATTCTACAGCCTAATACAAGTCTGATTCCACCACTTTGTTATTCATTAGGCAAATGTAAGTCTGGTGAATGTTGAATTAATGGACTGACTACTGAATAAAAAGTTAGTTTTTAAAACTTTTGCCCGCACTCAGACAAAATAATGTGTATGCGCGATCATTAATTCATATTTAAATGTCCACTTGATTAAAATGGAGGCACTTTCTTTAGTTTACTTGATGCCAGGGAGAATTCTAGTACTGGCACACTACTGATGATTACTTTTTTTTTTTAATGGCCATTTATGAACTCTTGTCATTCACCGTGTGAAAACTCCTGCTTAGTCGCCTCAGAGTTCATGGCACGGCTCAGACGCTCTCTGAAAGAGGCCCTCGAATGCTTCTTTTAACACACAAAGCTGTTGAAGCACTTTAAAAGTCACACCCGCGATGAATGCCGGCTGCTTTTGTCTTCGAGGCTGTGAATGTTGACTCAAGTGAGTGATGCCTTTCTTTTGTCCTCTCCAGAACAGCTGCTCTGACCTGGACTCTTATCTGCGGGGCGCGCTGAGTCAATACCTCCTCAACGTCTCCACGGCAGCCGAGCTGTGCAGCCAGACTCTGTGCGCCTCTCGCGGCCGCTGCCTGCGCCGGAACCCGGACAGCGACGCGTACCTGCACCTGAGCCCCGCCGGCCACCGTATCCTCACGCCGCCCGGCAAGCCGCCGGCCGTCGTCGGCGAGCTCGTCAGCGCTGAGAAGGGGCGTTTTCAGAGCCAGTTTCAGTGCCAGTGCTACAGCGGCTACCAGGGAGAGCGCTGCGATCAGACCGACCCCCTGCACCAGCGAGCGGCGGCGTCTCAAGTCGCGCCGTGTGCGGCCTTGCTGGTCGTCTCCCTGCTCCTCCGTTAGTGGCTGTGGTCTGTAGGTCTGGTCTGCATGTGGGGAATTCCGAGGAGTGTCCTTTTTTATTCTATTCATTTGCTGTAAGACATGGATGACACAACGTGAAATTGCAAAAGAAACACTGTTGGACAAAGTTACAGTTTGTTTCAAAGTTGTAATCTTTTTCTCAACAACGCGGGGCTCGCTGGAAGTGACCTTGTTTACACGACCGGGCTCTCGGTTTCTTCCCTGTTCAGTTTGATAAGGTGTTTAAATTCTGCGTTTCTCATAGAAAGGACATCTTTTGGAGGGTGTGGGGGCGGGTTGTGTGAGGAACAAGTAAATGTATGTCTGGTAAAAGTGGAAATGATGCACTTAAGTAGTAATAGCACACTATACATTTGAAGTGCCTGATGTTTTTTCAACATGTCCTCTGACATCTGATGTTTTTCTGGAGGCAATCGCCGTGTTACTATTTATTTGAATGTATTTGTGGGTATTTTATATGATATTTGTGTCCAAATCATGACTACTAGCTTTCTTTCAAAACAGTCTTTTCTGTATTACAGAAACTATTTTATGTCACAATGTAAAAAGCAAATCCTGACACTTTGTATGTTCCACAATGGCTCCTTACACAACCGCCTCTCTGTGGTGATTTCTAAACTTTGACTTTTGTCCAAGTAAGTAAACTTCACTGTTAATGTCCATGTGTCATTTCTTTTGAGATAAAACAACATATTAACATTAAGAGACCTTGACAACTGCATTTATAGGGCAATGAAAATAAATATAAAACGAGGACTAGCCAATAAGTAGTTTGAAATTGCTTTCTGAAAAGTATGACCAATGTAAAGTAAAAGTAAAGTCCAATTTATTCTAATTAATTTAGTGTTCGAGTAGCTTGTTTTTACAGAAATAAAAGCTGCTTGGTTTTCATTCTGGGAACAATACTCGCCCCTGATGACCCCGGGACAGACAAGTACAAGTAGCGTCTCAAAACCAAGACTTGGACTGAGATAACAGAACTTTGGCTCTTTTGTTGGCAGCTAATAAAAGACATCTCCTCGCTGTCCACTAAGAGGAGGCAAATTGTCATTGTCCGCTAAGGGAGGCAAAGCCGTCTTCAGGGAGGGACACATCTTGCAAGCTGCTGCCTCATGCCCCCTCCCCGTGTAATTATAGGGTGCTGTTAAGCCAAGAGTTATTTTTACTACTTTTAAGAGTTCAGCAAGGCATACGTTTAAATTGGCAGGAGGAGGAGTTCATTATGGCTTACTAACAGCTATTTAGAGTAGAACTACATTGCCTTCCCCGGTCAAGTCTGCACAGTCAACTGCTTGTAATTGAGACTTATTAGACACACGAAAAAAACTTTTTTTAAAACAAACTGAGAACTGTGTGTTCAGAAAACTACCGTGTGTTCAGACTTTTAAATGTCCTGTGACTTTAAATCTGGGCCCTAAAAATGATCTGCATGGTTCATATAATTGGTTGTCAAAGATTCATTGCACACCTTTGATTGGTTGTTTGAACACAGTCCCTCGCGTCCGATTGGTTGCTTTAAAGTGCCGACTTCTGTTTTCTTCCGCATGGTCATGTGTGTTTCCTCATGATCATGAGACTGCCGGTTGCTGTCCTCCCTTCACTTCTAGACCACTAAGTCCTCTTGCAAAGCTAAATCCTCATTCAGTTTGTAAACAGGTAAGTTCACGTTCGTCAATTTTGTCCGACATCATTGTGTCACACTGCATTATTGCATTATCGTGACTTGTACAGATAAAACTGTTTTCATCACCAGTTTTGTTACAACCTTAAAAAAGAGTTAACAATGTTGCAATATCCTGTCAATATTTCTCAACACCGTGGGCAGTAATTTTCAGTGATATCAGTACACTTATTTTCTTCTTTCTAGTCACTGCAAAGACACAAGTGATTTTAGTGAAATTGAATTACTGCATATAAACCTTTGCTTACAGCTGAAAGTCTATACGCAGGATTTATCTCTTGTGTCTGAGGCCGCTTCTTCTTTTTCAAACTGCTATGTAGCTAAACAAATCGACAATTAAAGTGACGTTTATAATGCTCCTCTAAAATAAACATCATTACCATCTTTGGATGTTCAATTGCTTAATAGCAGCCAGCTGACTTTGTTAATATTAAATCACCTACATGTCAATTAGTGAGCTTAAGTAGCACAAATAGTTTCTCTGAAGTCAGTGCTGTTTTCTTTTTCTCTACAGGGATGGGGTCCTTTCACAACGAGGCGCCATTTTTCTTAAACTTGATCAGCCTTGTTTCCGGGCTGCAGTTTGCGACGTCATCCTTTTCCCAGGTGCCTTTCCTCACTGTGTGGAACGCTCCTACTGCCAGGTGTCTCTCTCAATATGGCGTGGACCTCGACTTGGGGACGTTCAGCATCGTCCAGAACGAGAACCAGACCTTTATGGGCGAAAACATAACCATCTTTTACTCTGAAAAGCTCGGCCTGTATCCCAGATACACCGGCCAAGGGCTGCCCATCAATGGCGGCCTGCCGCAGAACGCCAGTCTCGACAAACACCTCGCAGTGGCCTCTGAAAGTATTCGCACCTGGATCCCCGACAGGGATTTTCAGGGACTGGCTGTGGTGGACTGGGAGAGCTGGAGACCCCTGTGGGAGAGAGACTGGGACAGTAAGCAGGTGTACCAGGTGAAATCAAGAGAACTGGTGAGATCCGGGCATCCGGACTGGAGCCCTGCGCAGGTAGAAGCTGCGGCTCGGGCCGACTTCCAGGAAGCCGGGAGGAAGTTTATGGAGCGAACGCTGAAACTCGGGCAGCAGGAGCGACCGAAGGGGCTGTGGGGTTTCTACGGTTTCCCCGACTGCTACAACTACTACAGGGACAAGAGCGCCAACTACACGGGGGAGTGTCCCGCCGCGGAGCTGGAGAGGAACGACCAGCTGCTGTGGCTGTGGAACGTCTCCTCCGCTCTCTACCCCGACATCTACCTCAGCCTCGGGCTGCGGCACCTGGACAGAGAGGTGCTCCTCTACAGCCGCCACCGCATCCTGGAGGCCATGAGGGCGGGAGCTCCGTCGGCGTCGACCGTGTTCCCGTACGCTCGCATCGTCTACACGTACACGCTGGATTTCCTTTCGCAGGCAAGTGGCAGGCGTTGGGTTTTGTTTTCGGTGAGCGTGTCGATTTGGTCTGAACGTTCGTTTGTTCTCTCGCAGGAGCACCTGGTCTACACCTTGGGAGAGAGCGCCGCTTTGGGGTCTGCCGGGGTGGTGCTTTGGGGCGACAATGCCTTCTCCAAATCTGAGGTAGGCCAACAGTTTATTGACCTTTTGCCACCATCGATTGGATGGTTGTCCAGGTGATCCGATCTGCCGACATCATGCACACAGTATGATTGAATACCTGACCTCAGCTACTCACTTCATTGATGTAGTTCATGTGATAGAATTGTTCTTTTCTCACTCTTCTGTATTATCTTTTGTTCTCAACAAATTCCATTCAATGGGACTAATGCTGCATATATACACCTTTTCAATAACGAATACAAACAAAGGTTTTTTTTCTTCTAAAAAGCTGAATTTTTAAAATAATTTTTAATTTTGCATGCGTACTTGCCCATACTCTGTCCTTTTCAGAACTAGGATAGTTATCATTGCTGACATAATCTATATGTGTTGAATTGTTGTCTGTAAATGCTTATTTTGGAGACTCTCGCTTCTTTCCTTTTATTGTTTAGAACACTTGTAGAGCCATCAAATCCTACATCGACAACACACTGGGTCCTTACCTGGTGAACGTGACGGCGGCGGCCTTTCTTTGCAGCTCGACTATTTGTTCCTCTCATGGAAGATGCCAGAGGAGGAACCCGACCTCGAGCGTCTACCTCCACCTGGACCCTGCAGAGTGGAAGGTGGTGCATGAGAAGAAATCTGACAAACGGCAGAGCTACACCATTTTTGGACGGATGAGAACGCGCAAGGTGGCGTTCATGAAGTCTGAGTTTCAGTGCAGGTGTTTCCCCGGGTGGAGCGGAGAGCGCTGCTCACAGGGATGAAAGGCTCTTCTTGAGGGAGAATGCTTGTGTTTTTATTGTGCTTTTTTCTTTATTTTAAATGGGAGATAATTTTGATTAAATCCCCACTATAATACTACAATAATTGAAGAATGTTGCATTAAATGTATCAAATGTTTTTTACATTTCAGCCTAAAACCATCTGAGATTTCACTCTCAAAGTCCCCTTTCCCCATAAATGTTGTAACTTATTCTTACTCCACTGTGATGTTTGAGCTTCCCTGTGCGTGCTGTGTGTGCAAGGTTTTTACACGAGAAGATACCAAAGGAAGTCAGACATTGTGGTACTTCTGTCATACTGCATCAGTTATACTACATATTGGAACATTGGGAAACAAACTGATGTGTTTTCTCTCAAGACTCATATTGTATTTTACTGTATATTGCACAGGTAATCTTTTAATATTGTCTTTCCAAAATGTGCCTCCATTGTTGCACAATAAAGAGCAAACCTGCATAATGTGACAGGTGTTGCTGCACAAAGGTGGAGAACAAAAATGTGTCTGACCGTTAAGCGTTGGGTTGTTGTATTATTGTGCAGTTTGGCTTTAAGGAGATTCAGGGATTCTTGCGTGTAATATGTATTCCACTAAAGACATAGACGCAAGAGTTTTGCCCTTGTTATTTAACAAAGCATTAAATAAACAATGTCAGCAATTCAACGGACTGCAGCCCGTTTATGCTTCCCTCAGTTTATCTTCTGCCTACAACCACTTTCTGCTGTACCACAATTCTGTGTACTGTTGAACGCACCTACTTTACAGATACACACAAGTTATCAAAAGATGTATTTGGTGGAATCAAACTGCTCCAGTAAAGGATCTGTTGTTTTTTTGCTAGACGGCTCTGACCGGCAGGTGGTGCTGCTGGACAGCTGAATAGAGGAGATGGAGGCACCATCAAGGTCAGAGACTGCCACTGTTCTTTATCTCTTATAGTGATCAGCAGAAGGGCCAAACACATATTTGACTCTGTGTATCAGATCCTAAAACTTTTATTTCTGGGAGTGGCGCCCGGGGGGAGGTGCCCTTTGTATTTACGGGTTCTTGGAGGCGGAAAGACTTCAGGGGGCTTTTGATTTAAACGAGTTCGGAAGGGGGGGCTTTTTCTAATGGACCGGTGGTCCAAAATGGGGTTGGGGAATGATAACCCCCCCCCCCCCCCCCCCCCCCACACACACTACACTTTGTCTCCTGGGGACGGGCACGGTGGGAGGACAGACTCCCTCGTCGCCCCGTTGTTTCCTACTTCCGGCCTCATCATCCCTTGCTGGATTGTGAGGAAATTATTTTTTTGAAAGCCATAAACAACCGGTGAGCTTTTTAAAAATATCATTTTCCTTGTTTGAACCAGACAAACTGGTCAATTGGCTGCCAAAGGCCGAGGACAGAATTTAATGTCCGAGCTGAAACACTGTATTTACCTGGTGTTACGTGATAATGGCAGGAAAAAACAACAAAGCTCTCATCGTGATTGACATTATTGTTGTTTTCCCCCAGGCAGCTTAACATTCAACTTCCAAATACAGATAAGGAATTAAAATAATGACGTTTTAATCGGCTTGGGTTTGTTAAAGTTGTGTTTGCAATGTTAAAATTGTCTTCAAATAAAAACTTATATAAACTTCAACTTGCCATTTTACAACATGTAAAAAATCCAAACTTCTATAATAGTTGATAAAACCCGGTGAATATGACACGCTATGATCAGCCTTTTTTTTAAAAACCAATATCACCTCTCAATGTCATAAGATACTAAACAAACAGAAGCCGACCCAATCTGTTTGTCCGGTTTGAATGGTTCTCCTCTGCCAGGTGTATCAGGGCCTCCATTTCTCCTCCTCTCTTCTCTGCATTTCTTCCTTTTTGGCATTTCGCTCCATCACCCCCCCCTTGGTCACGTCTCCCCTTTCCACGCTGCTCGGTCCAGAGATCGTCGCGCTCGCCCTCGGTTTAATAACGGTTTTGTCACGCTACGTGTCCTCGTCCTTCAGAGGATTCGACTCTCTCCGATCGGGTTGCTCAAAGATCTGACGCTCACTTGTTTGCATGATTTATGTGCGCACGTGTTACTGTGCATCGATTGAGTGCTAAGTGTACAGATGTTGGTTTCATAACAGTCGACTGCATCTTGCATAGGAGAGCGCGATTAGTCAACACATTCGACTGATAGAGATGAGAGAAAAGGAAAGAATATATCTCTGAGTGTGCTACGTTCTTCATGTGTTATTTGAGTCCTCAGATTACTAAATTTAGGCCTGTTTGATTTTTAAATGGCCATAGTCTTTAGTCAAATAGATGACTATTTACTATGTATAGTCGACCTTGTTTGATCCTGAACCAAGTGATTACGTGTGAAACTATTTCTTTGTCGGGAGAAGAGACGTCTTGAAGACTCAGCTGGTGTTTTGTCCAGTTTATACAGACAATGTTACATGTTGAGTTGTGAGCTTTAAAGGGGCAGTTTTCTTTCTTATCTTTGTGCCAAATTGCTGAACCATTGTTGGAGTCCTAAAGAAATTTTCCAGTTTGGAAGTACCAAAAATAATGAAAAGTAGCTCCACATGATCCTTTATATGCATCTGTGAGAGGGAAGCTGCACTTTCCATGAGAGCAAGAATAAAACACCAGTAATTCCCACTTAAAGCCCCTGACTGTGAGTAAGGGGTGAAAACCAATGGATAAGGGTCCCTAAATCACTTTTTATCACATCTCCATGTGCGTAAATGAAATCAGAGCAGGGCCTCGGAGACATGGAATGAAAAGGCAGAGGAGACGAGGTGTGAGAGGGGTCACAGTGTCCTATTTCTCATGAGACGGAGCTCTGATATTTGTGCCTCCAGAGGCGGTTTGTGGGCCGGCAGACACGCACCACATCCTGCAGACAAGCTGATCATCAAGGTCATCAATACATCTGTGGATAATTCGCATTTGAAGGGATGTGCAAACAAACAAACAGAAATAGAACAGATGTGTGCGTGTGTGTGTGTCTCTGCGGTATGCCTCCTGATGAGAGGTGACCTGACAGACTGTCCCATGTGACTTATCCTGAGACGAGCAACAGCACCCCTCCCCCCGCCCCCCCGTCCCCACTTACATACACAGACACCAATTCAAGACCCCATCAGAGCTCGGAGAATAGCCCTACCATTTCAGAACAACACACACACACACACAGGTGACACAAAGGGGGGGCTCCTGCCAAAGCCACACAATGACTGCGCGTGTGCCCCCAGGAGCCATTCAGGTGGAAAACTACCCAATCAATCGCTAATAGAAGGTCTTTCCTCTCGCATCGGCCAACCACATGCTGACGGCGAGCCTTCTCCCCCTTGGAACAACAGCCAATCAGTGACCCACAATGCTTGCAGTTGTCATGTTGATCCTGATCGAAGGTAATTATTCTCATGTTTCATGGACACATATCGATGGATTATAAAGATAAGTAAATGCAAGCTAGGAAAGGAAAGATAATGCGCCCTGACTCCCTTTCAGTTTGTAATCAATTCAAATATGATGATTTTTTTTTAAACCATATAATCCATTTCAGCATTTTTGTCATTCATTTCAAAGGATTTGAACTTGGCTCATTTGAATAAACATTTTGCTCCATATTAGTCTGGGTAATGAAGTGGATCTCAGAAGAAAAATGCTTTTGTTAAGAGAGTGGAGACTGCTGTGTCACTCTGGTCACCTCAACGGGGAAATTGCTGATTGGATACCAGATTCAATTTAGAACAGAATACTAATAACGACTTGTAATTATTTTTTTTTTCGAAGATGTATAATGTCAAGAGTTATGAGCTGGGTTTTTTAGAAATGGAGAAAGTGAAGTTTTATTCACAAAGCACCATAGATCCAAGTCGCCATGATGGATTGAAGAGTAGAAGCCTTCTCGTCACAAAGAGTCATTTAGAAAAGTAAGAGTGTGTTTGTCGACTATATTGACTCCTGGGGACGCCCATGAGCGGAGGTTGCTGTATAATCAAACTATTGGTAATACACAGTTATAATAGCATAAAATATGGTCAACCTTATGTCCATTTAATGTGCAAGTCTCCACATCCTCTTGGCCATGTAGCAGAAGCCTACTAATTGTTGAGCAAGTAACATCAAGTCTTCTTGTTGGCATCATCCTTTTATCCTGCTCATAATTGAGTGCATGCAGAGATGGTCCACTACACACCGACAAACACACAAAAGTCACGATGGTCAATTCATTTAAGTGGAGCTCAAGTTTAAAAAAGAACGAGCTAACCTTTCTAAACACCACCGTAAAGGGATGTAAAAAATAGTTGTATTTAAAAAAAAATTAATTTGCTTGATGATTTCACTTCTATTATATATATATATATATATATATATATATATATATATATATATATATATATATATATATATGATGTATGTATAGGGTCAACAATGTGGCCCTACAGTCATTTCCTGCCTCTGGAAAGTGTTTCGTACCGAAATACATGAAGGCAGAATGAGATTTAATGGGTTTCTTGACTCCTATTTCACTATCTTAATCGGCTGTCGGTTCCTCCTATATTTGATTTACCAACTTTTATTATAAACAACTACTGCATGCAGCCTACACACACACACACACACACACACACACACACACACACACACACACACACACACACACACACACTCTTAGGTGAATTTGAGATTAGTTCACGGGATTCAAGGATTGCTGGGTCTCAACACAAATGTCACTGTGAGTCGTAACCTTTAGCGGAGCACGTTATCTGCTCTGATATGTAGCGGGCCGGGGCGGGGCCCGAACGCCATGCGATTTGATTTGAAAGGTCCCCATCCAAGTCATGCCCACCGGCTATCTTGCTCTTCCACAGTTCAGCAACACCAGCACTATAAGGCACGTCGTAGAGTTTCACGGATCTGATCTGTCCCGCCGAATCTGCGTCTCCCTCGGCCTCAGTTAATGAGCAGTGGCTGGAGAAAAGGAGCCGGGTCACTCTGCGTCCGGAGAGGATGTAACATGGGAAGAGACGTGACACAGGATGAGATGGTAATGCTGGAATCTAAAAGTAAATCAGCCGAGTCTCAGCTGCGCTTTTATTTGAGTTTTAGCTTTAACGGTAGAGAGGGTTGTGAGGGCGACGGGGGAGAAAAGACGGATGTGTTATTGGGGGCGGATGTGTTTGCTCAAGTGCTGACATGTGTATCTGTCACCACGGGTCATGAGTTATGAAACTGACAATGCCAGCTCCTTGTTTAAACCGCACAGATCAGAGGTTGTCCTTGATGTCAGCTTGAATAGACAAATGGAGATCTGCATTACATAAACCATGCCACATGAAAAATAAAAGGCAGCTGCAGGGATTCTTTCTTCCATCTGAACTAAATCTGTGTTTCCTCCTGCATGTGGCAAGTAACATTTAGGTTCACAGAAGATTTGGTTTGGTTTTCATTCTTTTTTTCTTCATCACTGTGTTCCTACTCTCACCTTTATTCTCCTCAAGAGGGAATTTGTCTTGAAGGTAAAGGCACCGGGGCTCGAACATAAAACATAACACAACAGTAGTCATCAGACCCATGAAATGCTCTTCACTGACTGATACATGTCAACATATGGTATGATGGATCTAACCAGCCCAACCCGTCGTAATCAAATGAAATCTTCAGTCGTCGGAAGGG